TGTCAGTGCTGAGTCATGGGGGCCCAGTGCACCTTCCGCTGCTCTCGGCATGAGGTTTGAAGAGGAAGGACGCTATTTGCTAGGTACTTGCTTGCCTACCTACCTACCTACCTACCTACCTTACCTAGGTACCTGCCAAGGCAGGCACCTTGCTTGCGCCAGTGGATGTATGTGTCTTTGCTTGCAGCTTGCACCTTCCATTGCTCCGCGGACCACAGGTGCTTCTCGCGTGGTGGTAGCAGCCAATCTTCAGGCCATTCAGCAACTCAAGTCGCCTATGAGTGGAGGTTTCCTACCTGCCCTGACTACCCATCAACCGTCAAGGTAGGTAGGTAGACAGGGTAGTTCCTTCCTAGCAAGGGTAGGTAGGTACATGTAGGTGCACCTCAGGGAGATAATCCGAAGGCAAGTGCCTTGCATCTCCTCGAGTTTGACCCGGGAAAATGAATCAGTCCTTACCTGCCCTACCTACCTAGGGAACGGTGCCTTGGGTATTCTGATTCCCACCACATTATCCCACCCGGTCCCCTTTGTTTGTCTTCATGACCGTTTTCGGCACCATCATCAAGACGGTGGCATTTTTTTTTTTGATCGAAACCCTTCCTGTTCGGCCCTGCCACCAGCACGCCGCTGCCAGCTGCCGACCCCTGGCGTTCTGGCCCCAGACTTGAGGCCAGGCCAGCCAGTGCCTCGAACCTGTTACCGCACCACGTCCATCTTGTCAATCGAGACTCTGGGGTGTCACAGCTTTTGCCAAGGCGAATCAGAAAAGAAAACGGCTCGGCGTTCCGAATTTTGCTCTGGAAGACGACCGCCTTATTCGAGCCATTTCAAGCGCGTGACCTGGCCTGGACACCATGTTTCCTACGCCAGCTTTCACTGTGCAAGCTGGCGAAGCAGCTGCCTACCCTTCAAAGGTGCTGTCGCCGCAACCTACCCTCCCAACCATTTGAAGGTGACACCAGCTATAAATACGCAAAGTTCCTCGGATCGTACGATAACGCGCCCAGGCAAACAGAGAGTCCTTGAGGCGATGGAACCTACGGCGGCAATGCCAACAAACAAGGCGAGAGCGAATCGCAGAGCGCCAGTCACATGGGAAGAAGTGCACCTATCGACCTATGGAAATGCACTATTTACGTTGGGCGCCACGGCTCGCCATGATGTCGACCGCGGGCTGCATGCATGCCGTATGGCATGATCTGACCATGCCATATAGACAAGGCCTATCATAGCTGTTCCGGGGCATCTCGACTTTGCCCATACTTGTCTACTATTCCCCAGTACGATGTACCACGCGCCCGCCAGCCAGACTTTCTTGATTCGATGAGAGCCAAGCGCCGTAGCAAGTTCACCGACGTCGTACCATACTGTGCGTATTCCGTTTCTCTTTTCTCCGGATATGCGATTCTTTTGGGGGAGTGGTCAAGGTTCCTGGATCCCCCCCCCTTTTTTTTCCCCCCCCCCCCCCCCCCCCCCCCCCCCCCCAAAAAAAAAAAAAAAAAAAAACCGGCCTTGTCAATTATAAGACCCATCTCACTAGGTTCAATCAGCGGCACCTCTCGGTGCTCCTCCGGATTTTATTCTTCTCGACAGGGACTTCTGCAAAGCGAGCAGGCCGCCCCTCCGTGTGCGACTGATTATTCGAGAAGAGGATGGAAGAAGTTGGAACCCAATGAGCAAATGCCAGAGATGGGCCCGTGGTTGAAGTTTGAACGTCGGTTGAAGCCTCCTTACCACCAAAGGTGTCGAAACCGGATCACGCTCAGTCTATATAAATTGGACGAGACGGACAAGCTTGCAAACCGAACATTGGCACAATAATCACCCACGGGAGGGAATGGAACTAGGGATTAGATGTTGAGAGCGGAGGACATGAAGTCGCCCGGGTCTCGACTCTGACCCCTGTCAATACAATTATCGCTATGGTGCTGGGCTCGCTCTTGTTATCTCCTCTTCACGACACCACGACTGCGACCAGTGCCATTACATCGCTTACGGGACGGATCGCCTGCGCCCGGCCCTGGCCAGCCCTGGCGCCCGCCATCAGCGAAAGCGATCCCCTCAATGATCCCTGTTCAAATCTACTTGATTGCCCCAAGCCCCATCACTTAGCCATCTTCCCTCTTCCGATGGATCTGATCCTCGGTCGTCACGTCCTTCAACCACAGCCTTCTTACCTCATTTCCCCCACAGGAGCGCATCCCCGCAGGCATGCCCCGAGTAGCCTAGCCACTGGTCCCTGCTAGACTCGTCATCGGGGTCTTTGGCGCGATTCAGCAAGCTCAACCCTGGCTGGCCTCGTCTGTTCACGCCAGTGCCGTTTCCCTGTCATTGGGACACAGCTTTCGGGCGGCATTCGGTCCTCCGAATCCACAAGGCGGCACCTCGACTCGCTCTCACTTTACTCTTCACATCGCCTCGCTTTCATCTTACCCCATCCGCATCCAATTCCACATCAGCCCTGCTGTACCTCTGACCTTACGCCGTGACCAATCCGACTGGGCTCTGGAAAGGACTGACTCACTCGTCCTGTCTGGCTCTGCCCGCTGTGTGCCTCGAGCTGTCGCGGCTCAGCTCGCCAGCGCAACGGCTATGCTTACCTTGTCGACTTGCCCCTGCTGTCCGCCTTGCGCCTAATAGCTGGCTGCTCGTTCTGTCACATTCTCGCCAGCTCGACTTTCCAAGTCCCCTGCGTGCAGTAGTCCGTACATCCCGGCGCCGACCCGACTTCCGCATTGCGATCCCGCCCGACCCGATCTCGACTCATCTGCAGTTGACACGACCCGGATCAGCCGCTGACTATCGGCGCAGACGACACTCTTCTGGCTGCTGCTGCTGCTGCTGTTGGATGGTGTGCCCCTCGACGACCAAACGACACAAGACAACGGGCCACCGACACGCGACATCTGACTGATGGGCCGTAAACAATATGACTCGGCCCAAGGTCCCGCCTGAGAAGCGTATTCGAACTGCCCAAGCTTGCGAAACGTGCAAGCGGCGAAAGCAGAAGGTGAGAAGATGGCGCATATTTCTCATTCTATTGATATCCCCTCCCCATGCTACCTAGTCTGTCTTGTGCCGCTCCAGCTTGTTGAGTAGCTGTTGAGTTTTGCCTCCCACAACATCGTCGCGTTTGTCGTTCCAGACCCGAGGCACGGCCAAGTAGCCGCCTATGCTTTCCTTTCCTGATACCCGTCACTGCACGTCCAACAACGCGCTCCGGCCGCGTCATAAGTTTGTACACCTGTGGCTCGTTAGGGTCTCACTACTTGAGCCTCACACCGTCGCTTCGGCTAGGTGCCGCGCCGCCATCGACTTTCTTCAATCCTTCATCTCGGCCAGCGGCTGATATGGCGCTGTCTCACCCAACTCTGGCGTCGGAAGAGCTCCCTTCAGGTGATCTCGACTTGGTCGCCAGCCGTTCCGAGGCGCTGTAGCGCCACACAAAGTCTCACAGCGACGGAAGGCTCAAGTGGCACCGTCGACTGTTGTGCACATCTGCTGCTGCGTCTGTCCTTGACCATTCGCATATGGCACCTCCCGCCGCCCAGCCCAGGGACAGACAAAGGCAGCAGCTTGACGACGATGAACGCTCATGTGCTTCACGCATCAAAATTGACCATCTTGATATCCAAAAATACCCCCCCGCTCGGCGTCTCGTTGAATGTTTTTGGTTGCTAACATAAACGGAAAGTGCAACGGCATACAGCCCTGCAATACTTGCAGCAAACGTAGCCTGGATTGTACCTACATCAAGGCACCTAATAGCGATCTAGACCACCTCTCCCCGCTCCCGTCCGCCACGCCAGCAAAGCGTCGCCATGTTGACGATAGTTCGCCGGTGAAGACTGATTCACCAGATATCAATTTGCCAGATCACCATAGTCCCACCAAGGTGTATGCGGCCTGGAGCAACGATCCTAGTCGACACGGGAGCATCGTGGGACGTCCCAGGGTTGACACTAATCCCAGCACATCCACCGAGCCAGATAATGAGCTTCTGGCGCCAGACCATGAGTACGAAAACCACTCTAGAAACAGCACGGTTTCTGGGCCAGACGAAGAGACGTCTCTTCTTCAGTCCACGAGAATGCTACAGGACCCAACTGGAAGGCTACGTAAGAAGTCCCAGTACCAATTTTAGTGCATGGACGGGCTGACCTGGTGAACAATAGTCTATGTCGGAGACTCTGCCTCGTTGGCTTATCTGCAGCTTATTCGCATGATTGTCGAGACAAGGACAGGTCCCAATGACTTCACAACGGATCCAAGCCGACACAAAATCATGGAGCCGACCATTAGCATGCCAGCGAATGTACGACCATCCCACATCCTGCCTGATCAAGAAACGGCGAAAATTCTAGTTGCCTCTTTCTTCACCAATGTGAGTGATGCTCCATCTTAACTGGTGATCGCGTCGTGCTCGGCTTCGGCGTTGATCAATTTTTCTTTCGCCACATCCGACTGATTTTCTCAGACTCATGGTTTGATTGAGATTTTCAACCGCTCGGCATTTGAGGCTTCCGTGGGAGCTTGTTATTCCGATCCTCTTTCCGCACAGTCTTCTTTCATCTGTCTGCTTTACTTGACGTTCGCGATTGGCACTGTCCTCGGGACGCCGTTGCCGTCAACTCGAGAAGATGCGGTTTTTCAAGAAAGCTTCGGACAAGATCAATTCAACCGAGCGGAGATGTTCTTTCGCAGCGCCAAAATCTCTTGCCGATCCTGTCTCTGGTTTTGAGGATGCCGACTTTGGTCTGTCCAGGCATTGTCCCTGATGGCTGTCTATATGCTCGCTGTTTCGAAGCGCAATGCGGCATATGCCTACTTTGGTATTTTGACACATGTCATGCTACAGAGTCCTTGACTAACAAATGGACAGGCATGGCAGTGCGGTCTGCATTCGCTCTTGGTCTACACAGGGTGCAAGAGAACCATTCCATTTTTACGAGTGAGGATGTGAGGTTGCGACGAAACCTATGGCGAAGCCTCTTTGTCCTCGATAGGTTTTTGGCAGCCTCTTTGGGACGCCCAGCCGCCATTGCTGAAGACGAATGTTCAGATGACGCTTTGATGGTCTTCGAGAAGAACGATTTGGGTGAGCTGACACGAGTCTCCGATACCTCCAGCGGTCTCGACGCAGCCGTCCGAAGCTGTCAAGTCATTGGCCAAATTCTGAAAAAGATCTACGCCCGAAGACGAATATCATTACGACTAGCACATGAAATCGCGGAGCAATGCCAGACGTGGAGCTCCACCCTACATCCCGACCTTCACTGCACCAAGGTGCGGACAGGACCCTGGCACGCAGCACAGGGCATTGCCGCCCTGCACGTGAACCTTCTCTACTCGCACTCGATACTTCTTCTGACGAGGCCATTCTTCATTTGTCAACTCAGTAAAGTCCACAACGAACGCAGTGGGGTAAAGCTGCCGGTCCCTCGATGGGTCAACCGCATGTCCAAGTACTGTGAGGCTTGCTTCGCTGCATCCACCCACACCATCGACCTGGTACAGCAGGCATATGAAAGCAACTACCTGCCGCAGCGAAACCCGTTTGTCTTGTAAGTAGCATCGCTTTCCTTCTTCACCAAGTACTCATCGTGTTGTCGCTAGATACTTCCTCTTCGCTGCCAGTCTTATCGTACTGAGCAATGAATTCGGCTCAGTCTATGCGAATCCCTCGTACGAGTTATTAATCAACAACTCGATCACCATTATGCAGTATTGCGCAAAGTCTGACCCCCAGGCTAATCGACTGCTCTACATTCTCATCTCGTTCAAGGCGGCTGTCGCACATGTTCGGGAGCAAGACATGGATACGCCTGCTCTACCTGGCCCTACCCCCCTTGCCGGCGGCGTTGACCCCATGGTTGGCATCTTCACGCCCAGCAAAGGACCTCGAAGAAGTTCTTTCGTCTCGCCGGTGTCTGCAGCAATTTCTGCGAACAGAGCAATGGCGGCACCGCGGGCGCCTCTTGCGATGAAGATGGAAAGCACACCGCACCCCTCATACGGAATTGCGGGTGTATCACCGGCGAGCAGTGGAGCTGTCAGCAGTGGGGGACGGGATACGGACATGGGAGACAATGAGCTGGACTTTGACAACCTATGGGGGCCTTGGACGCCAGCACCGACTTCGGCAGTGTCCGCGGTGGCAACGAATGACGGCCCATCAACATCGACAAGGCCAATGGGACCCGGAGAAGCCAGAACGGCGGCCCAGAGCGAGAGAGGAACTGGTCCAGGACATATACCGAACGACAAATTGGCATCGGCATACGGCAGATACGGTGCCTGTGGGATTATTTCTAACGGGGATGCGATGCCTACTGGCCACAGTATCCCCTCGTCGTCTTCGTTATTCGCACCCGCTGAGTTTTGATGTTTGGAGCTGTAGACTACGCAGGTGAGAGAGGCTTTCAGCTTACCAATGGCTTGTGAAAACTGGAAAATTGGGCAAGAAAGGGAATTATTGTTCTTGAGGAGTTTCCTGCGTAATGGGAATTTGCAGGGTCATGGGCGGGCTTGGCAGGTAAGGGGAGGAGTTACGGACGTTGAAAAGATGAATAGGAAAGGTCAGGGAGAGAAGAATAGGATACCCAAACGTTATTCATTCGTGTTTATGTTACACAAAGCTGATGAGCAATCGAAAACAGACAATTGCTTCATCGCAATGCAGTCACAGCCATATGCATCCATCACACTAGGCCACCGGTCAGGTACCCGTGTGTCTCCCCCACAGGACAGAGCAATAGCAGACACGAGGGTGTGCTTATTATCTGGCCCTGATTCAGGTGCCCGCGTGGGAGCCGTACATGTGATGCATATTCGCAGGGTGTGACTCGGGGGCCTGAAGATGGTGGAGCTAGGCACTCGTCCTTGACACGGCTCGTTCTATCTGCTACTTTGCCCAACAGGACTACTTTTCCCTACGAAGGAGGCCTGACCCTGCATGGCTTGCCACTCTGCCGAGTCGATGAACGACGCACCTCTAGTCTAACAATATCCAAAAGCATGCCGCCCGTTGAAATGAGAAGATGAAGAAGGAAAAGGAGAAGGAGAAGGAGAGAGAAGGGCATCAGAGCAGGGAGGCATCAAGCCGCCTCGGCCAGGACAAAATCAAAGCCGACCCGCCATCTGGCGCCCATGGGATCCGTTTCCTCGGCCGGGCGGAACACGGCAATGAGGTCCTCCTTGACGGCGAAGACGGTGTCGTCGTCGAGGTGGGGGTCCTCGGCATCGAAGAGCTGGGTCGTCAGCGTGCGGCGGCCGGGACACGAGACGATGAAGTGGATGTGGGCCGGGCGGAAGGGGTGGCGGTCGAGCAGGCCGAGCAGGCGGCCGGCGGGCCCGTCGTCGGGGACGGGGTAGGGCGGCGGGCGGAGGCAGTAGAGGGCGAAGCGGCCGTCCGGGTCGGTGGGGAGGCGGGCGCGGAGGTGCATCTCGGGCTGCGCCGGGTCCTGCTGCTCGTACTGGCCGTTGGGGGCGGCGTGCCAGACGTCGAGGGTCGCGTTGGCCAGGGGCGTGCCCGCCGGGGGTCAGGACGCGGCCGGTGAGTGCGTCAGGCGGAGGCGTAGCAGGGGTCTGTCAGGAGAGAGGGGTTGGATGAGGCGTTGGCCGGCAGACGGGAGGACGAGGCCGCGGTGCGAGTAGAAGGGACCGAGGATGGCGGACGGTGTCGAGTTGCCGGGGCCGCGGCCGTCGGAGTCTTCTTGGGTGTGCACTTCGGACCGCCTCGGGCATCAGAGGTTCGCGGCTGCGTCTGGAGCGGAGAGGAGGGCCTTGGGCCTTGCTTGACCGAGGTGATCTCGTCGACGAGGGACTCGAGGCCGAGAACGTCGCACACGAGTTGCGTCTCGTTGCGCGCGTCGTTGCTCATCTGGCCGGCCTCGTTGAGCTGCGACGGTGTCAGTATGGCGATATATCGGGTGTCTGGCCTTGGAACAGAGGGGCTGGACTCGGCTGGACCAGGGCAGTACATACGAGCTGGATGCCGGCCATCCACTCATCGGCGGTGAGCTCGACCTCACGAGCAAAGTCATGCAGGTGACGGAGGAGGGCGGGCATGATCTCGGCCAGGCGGGGGTTGGCATTTCGGCCGGTGGCGGCGATGACACGTGCTGTGAAGCCAGGGTCGAGAGCCGAGCCGAACCTTCCGGAAGAGGCGGGATTCGGGGCCGACTTCTCGGAACTATGCCCGTCGCTTTCTGTTTCCCTGGGCATGGTCGTGGTGGTGGTCGTCGTCTTCTTCTTCTCCCCGTCGGCGGCCACGATGGCGGACTCGTGGTGTTTCTCGTCGGCACGAACAGCGTGTCGTCTTGTCGGAGCAGGATGAGGATGCCTAGGGGGATAGTGATGTTTAGAGGGTTGGTGATGCTTTGGGGGATGTTGTCTCAGTGTCGTGAATCGAGGTTGAGCAGCGGCTGACTCGGGCGGCGCCAACTTAAAAGAGGGGCCGCATTGGGTCTGGTGAGGAGAAGCCGAACAGGTGCTCCTGTTGAGGCTGAGGTTCGACCGCTGTTCGAGGGTTGGAGGTACCATGGCGGTGATGGTGATGTTGATGGCGTTTCCTTTCCTAGAACAAGCTTCCAGAACGGGCCGAAGCAGTGAGTTGGTGGATTGCTGGACGAGGCCGCTCGTGGTCTAGATGTCAGGATAGAGTGTGGGCGAGCCTGGGGAAGATGAAGTTGCCGAGCGATCTGAACCTCGACTTGACTTTGGGGAAAGCTAAATGAATCCAAGGTTGCAAAACACGGTGGACTGCAGCAATTCCGGTGGAGGATCGTGCAAAAAGAAATCACTTGTCTCGCCGGCGATGATGACGACTTTAGACGGTTCGTGTTTTGTGATTCTATAATCACCTCGCCTAGCCCGGTGTCCTTTCACTGCCCCCTGATGCAATACATTCACCTCCTCCGCCTACTTCTACTCCTCCTGACCATCATGGTCCCGCCCCCTCCATACCCGCCAATCTGCCGCAACCCGGCCACTCCCTTGACAATACCGGCCCCGCGCAGCTGACAAGCCTCGCCTCTCCTGTCTGGAGGCAAAGAAACACACGATGAGCATCAACAGCCTGCCGGGGAACAGGCCGGGGCCAAGAGACGTTGTCGGAACTCCATTGCCCAGCATCGCCAAGTGGGATGGAGCGTGGCAGGGTTGCTACACGGGGTCTGGTTCCGGCTGCAGATTTCGACATGTCGCTTTTTTGACACATGTCTTATCCCAGGGCCAAAAAACGAACCCCACCCTCACCACCACAATCTGCACGTCGCTTGTTTGGTCCATGGTGATCTCACTCACCTGTCATGATGCAGATGTATATAAAAATGAAGAAGAAGCAAAGAAAAGTAAAAAAAAAAAGAAGAAAAGGAGAGTGACAGCTACACAGGCCATGCCGCTTCTTACCAGCAACCTGGTCCGGCAGGGCCGCCCCGCTCCCTCCTCTCTCACCACCATACGTGTCGTCGCCGCTGAAGAGCGAGCAAGGGTGAGAGTGAGTGAGAGAGAGAGCGGGCTGAGCAAAAGGAAAATAACAGAGGCACAGACCAGCCGCGAAGATGCATTCTGTATGGCAGCTTACTTCTGCAATTGCTGACCACCATGTCCTCCGAGAGCTGAGGAGACGCAAATGCGCCACTCTTGCTGATACGCGTCTGCATGGCACTGAAAGGAATCGTCTCCTCACATCGGGCTGGTAGGTGCGTGAGTATGGCGTTGGGGATACATGTTCCTGGAGAGAAAGGATGACAGCATGTTGTGGAGAAAGGTTGTGGGATGGGCGATACGCGGACAAGCGCAGGCAATCTTGGACAATGTTTGCGACGAACGGGTGGGATCGAGGCAGAGGAGGAAAGCGGAACATGAAGGGGGAGGAATTGCGGGATGCCTTACGACGCAAACATGCACTATGGGAGTTTCATGCGGCCTACGACAGAGGCAGTGCTTTGCCCGGGCTTGCCAGGGAGCCTGTTCTTCGAGTCGTCTCTTACCCCATGCTCACCAGCGAGACGCGACGTTGCTTGGCGTCCGAGCAACACGAAGGCTGAGGACGCTTGGCCAGGGGTGGAAAAGGGGGGAAGAGGCTACTATCATATCACCCTGCATGTTCACGTTTGACACGCTTTCAACTGCCTTGCTCTGCCAAGGCCATCCAATTCAACCGTGGGTCTGACGAACAGGCAGACTACGTACATTTTAACTTCTAGACCGCATCCACGCGCCTCCGGAAGACCCTCCCACGCATCCCCGGCACCCCTGAGTGAAGAATCATATGCAGACGCTCCACCTCGCTGCAGCCTCCTCCCTCGTGCATCACGCTGCCGGGGGCTCTCCCCCACTCACCACGAGCGCGGACCAAACGTCTCCCCCTCACCTACGAAGGCCTGAATGGCCTCATTCTTAAAGTCCATCGTCTCCTTGTACACAGTGTTGCCCCACCACTTGGGCGGCTCAATCTTATGCATCGATAGCGCGAAGAAGATCACGAGCGTCGCGAGCGCCAGACCAAGGTCTAGACCCGATGATGTCAGGAAGTTCAGCCGCGACCACCATCCAAAGTGGCGCTTGCGAATCCAGTAGTTGAAGGTCATCCCCACGATGCCCCAGCTGAGATAGTTCAGCGGCGTCGCTGGCGGGATGCTGCCGGCACCGCCAAAGATGAGCGGCGCCATGAGGAAGCTGAAGGGCGACTTGGGCCAGCGCTTCCCTGCAAAGTAGATGATGACGGGCACCACGGCGCCGACGCCGAAGAAGATGAAGAGGCCCGAGTAGATCTGGCCGGGGGAGAACATGCGCGCCGGGCCCAGGAGACCCCAGATGACCGACGCTGCGAAGAACACTCGCGCGCCGGGGCATGTGAAGCGGTCCACCTGCTCCGGGGTGCAGACGCCCTCCACGCGCTGAAGCGCGCCGTTGAGGACAAAGATCTGGATGACGCACGAGATCGTCGTCGACACAACCTGGGCCCAGAACATGGTGCGCGGGGGGATCTTCATGTAGTGGCCAAACTTGAGATCGGCTACGAAGCTGAGCGCGCGAGACATGGTGATGTAGCCAAACGTCTTGAAACTGTAGTGTTGTCAGAGTGATGCCTCGCACGACGGATGAGCAGGCCATCTTACATCATCAACGCCAGCGGCCGGCCGGGCTGGATATATCCGTACACAAACTCGGTCATGACGTTGAGGCCGATCTGGTGGTTCGTGACTGCTTGGATGATGCCGATCGGCACGGAGAAGAAGAAGGAAATGGCCACGGACAGCAGGAATGCCCACCAAGTCATCATGGTAGGGTATCCTAGAACGGCCACAAATCCTAGACCAAGCATCTGCACATTCGTCAACTTTGGAGTCCCCCCCCTGTACCTAGCCAGCTAGGTGTTTGTGTACTTACGACTGCGAAGAGAGACCAATACCACCAGCTTGGAGCCTCCTTATACTTCTTCATCAGTCTCATGTGAACATCAGGCTTCTCCTTGGCGCTGTTTTGGTACTGCTGCCAGATCTGCTTTCCGTTGTGCAGGTATGTGTACACGATAAGAGATGAGATGGCGGCGAACGACAGGCCGTACGACATGGCAAACGTTGTGCTGATGAACAGAGGCGAGTAGTTCTTGTAGGCCTCCTCGTCCAGCGTCATGTCGGGCCTGAGGATGCGGCTCGTGTTGTACCGTTGCCCAGTGTTGTCGTAGGTGCCCGAGTCGCTCATGGGCAGATATTGCGCGTACCATACGCCAGTGTAGTGGAAGATGGAGCACAAGGTGATGAAGAAGAAGATGACGCCGACCATCGTGTTGGCGATTGCTTCCCTGAAAACCATCAGAAAATATTCGGCCACTGCGGCGAAGGTGTCTGCATGACCTACCAAGGAGGAATCAGAGGAGAGCCGACGAAACCAGAAATCTGCGTCCAGTCAAATGTGAGAGGCAACAGTGAGAGACCTGTCGAGCCGCCGAACAGCTGATTCACAACGGGGTTTCTGGGGGCCATCCAAGTAGCAAACGCAAAGACGCTCAGGCACTTGACAAAGTACCCGGGAATCCAGTAGTAGCAGAACGCCCCCAGAGTGACCAGCGCGAACCACTTGTAGCGCGGCATTCTCCCGCCGAGGATTGAGGGGTCGGGTCTGTCGCTGCGGTCGTACATGGCATTCATCAGGGTCACAGACACCAAAACGCCGGGCCAGATCATGGATGCGGGATAGACTGCGAGGTCAGCCGGGATGCTTGTACAAGGGGCAAGGGGAATCGAAGAACCCATACCGAGAAACTTCCTCAGAATACCCGCAATGCCGTATCCCAGGGATTGCGTCGAGATGGTTAGCAGCATCTGGAAGGTGAGGCCAAAATCCTGCTTGTAAAAGACGAGCTGGGCCAGAATAATGTCCGTAGCATAGGCGACTGAGAAGGAAACACTAGCCATCACAACGATGATGGAGTGCTCCTTTCGGTTGAAGGGACCCGGGTTCAGACTCCAGCGGATGCCAAAGGTCTCAAAGCGTCTCGTCGGCATGACTTTGGTCCAGCCATGGCCTATGGGCCACGAAATGATCTGAGCGACGAGGGGGCTGATGCCAATGGACGGCGAGCGTAGAGAGAAGAACGTGTTCATAGAGGCACCGAGGACGACAAGGAGCAAGCCGATCGTCCAGGCTCGTATGGTGTTGCAAGGTGCGTCCTCGTCGTAATTTCGAACGGCGGAGCGGACTTCGGCATAAGGAGAGTCCTCCTCGTCCTCCTTGTCCATGGCGAGCTCGTCGTCGGCCACGCTATCCCGCCGGGCGCCTGGTCGCGCGTCGTACTCCTCGGGGAGGGCAGGATCTAAGAGAAGTTCATGTTCGGATGCTTGCTCATCATCATCACCGACATCGCCCTTGAATGCTCTTGACTCACCCCATTGCGAGAGACTCTGCTGTAGGTCCCCGACGGGGCCGGAGCTTTCTTGGAAGCCGGCGGCCGTCAGGCCTACGCTCTTGTCCGTCTCGCGCCCACTTGCTGCAGCCCCGGCCGTGGAGGTCATCTCGTAGTCATCGTACTCAGCGGCAGCACTGGGGGCTGTCTTGGACACACGGCTGCTTGAAGTTCGCGCCATGATAGGCGTCCCACTTAGATGGGAGATGTATACAGCGAGACGATTCCCCCGCGGGCGTGGAAGGCAGTGGGCTTAAATGGGGGGGGTGATTCTGTTGAGCTCTGGGCGAGCAAGGGGAAAGTGGTGGAAAAGTCTAATAGTATAGTTCGCGGCGTCGCAGAAGCCACAAATGAAGTGATTGTCGTGTTCGGAGTCAAGAGTGTCGTGGCGAAGGCCGCGCTGTAGGTGACTACGCGTCGTGGGAGTGTCACCAAAGCGGCGCTCAAGGTTTAGTGGCGGTGGTGTTTTCGTCGTCTTGAAGGCTAAGTACGTCGCGTTCTAAAATGTGGCCATGATATCGTTCGGTGTGATTATGGCGGAGATGACGGCAAGCAATGAGCGAAGGATTCTATACAAGGATAACAGAATGCCGGACTTCGAATTGGCAAAAAGAGTCTGTCCTCTTCGGCAATTGAGATCTATATGGTTCGCGTTCAAGATTGCAAAGAAGCTACGATGCTGAGAGACGAGTGTTCGATTGATTTGAGTTGAGGTGCGGTCAATGCGTGTTGTATGGCTCGAGCCGCATGAGAACGAAACGTGGCCCGGGTCTAAGCCTTGGGCTTGGGCCTAGGTCTTGAGTCGAGGACAGGAGTTCCTCAGAGATGTGTGCGAATGTGTGATCAGAACATGCTGGCGATGTGCAAAGGTAACGATATTCAATGGCTGAATATTAAATAGCAAGCCTTGAGTAGAGCCGCAGCACGATGATCGCGTCAGACGACGTGTTGCTTTGGGGTAGGATGAGATGGGAAGGTGAAGCTGAGCACCGCCCCTTCCATCCGCATGTCCCATGTCTCGCACTGTGCAGATTAGCTTTTTAGGGGTCTTCGGCCGCGATTCAACACGGTCTGGCCACTGTCAATACAGTGTCGAGTTCGGTTGTAGCGTTCGAGACCTGAAACTCGACCGAATCGGGCCTAGCATAATCCTTGCCGGAGCTCATCCCTGACCATCGACCTTCAAGCTCTGACGTCCCTTGCTTTGAAGGTACGTATTTTGACTGTGAGCAAAGAGAGGCACTACACGGCAGACGCAATCGCCTCTGAGCTCGCCAGTCTCAATTCTCTTCGGCTCGTCTCACACCTTGAAAGCTAGAGAGAACTCTGGCATGGCAGGATAATGCGACGAGTCGTCGTGACAGGCCTCGGCGCCATCACGCCCCTCGGCGTTGGCGTTCGCACCACCTGGTCCCGTCTCCTCGCTGGCGAGTCGGGCATCACGACCCTGGACCACCTCGAGCCGCGCCAGCGCTGGAAGGACATGACCAGCAGCGTCGCCGGCCTCGTACCGACAGAGCAATGGCGACCATCCGAGTGGCTGGGCCCCACAGAGATGCGCCGCATGTCCACATTTGCCCAGTACGCCGTCGCCAGCGCCCAGATGGCTCTCGACGACGCCGACTGGCACCCTTCGAGCCACGAAGAGAAAGAGGCCACGGGCGTTTGTCTCGGCAGCGGCATTGGCAACCTCGAAGAGATCTACGACACCAGTCTGGCGTTTGACCAAGGCGTGAGCATCCCCCGCCTGCTCGGGACGTTGTTGAAGCTAACTCTGTGCCAGGGTTACAAGAAGGTCTCGCCGTTGTTCGTGCCCAAGATCCTCATCAACATGGCCGCCGGCCACATCTCCATGAAGCACGGCCTCCAGGGTCCCAACCACGCCGTCACTACGGCTTGCACGACGGGGGCTCACTCGATCGGCGACGCCAGCCGCTTCATCGCCTTTGGGGACGCCGACGTCATGGTCGCCGGCGGTACCGAGTCGTGCATCCACCCCCTGACCTTTGCCGGCTTTGGCAGGGCGCGGTCGCTGTCGACGAGGTACAACACCGACCCCGCAGCGAGCTGTCGCCCCTTTGACGCCGGCCGCGACGGCTTTGTCGTGGCCGAGGGGTCGGCCGTCTTTGTCCTCGAAGAGCTCGAGCACGCGCGGGCGCGAGGGGCCCGGATCTACGCCGAGGTCAAGGGGTACGGGTGCAGCGGGGATAGCCATCACATGACGGCGCCGCGGGAGGACGGCCATGGCGCGTTCAGGGCCATGCGGGCGGCGCTGAAGAATGCCGGCATCAGGCCGGCCGACGTTGACTACATCAACGCCCACGCCACGGGCACCCAGATTGGAGACGCTGCCGAGGCGTCCGCCATTCGGACACTCATGATGGGCGACGAGGGCGTCGCTGACGAGTCTGAGGTTGCTGTCAGCAGCACAAAGGGTGCAGTCGGGCACTTGCTGGGAGCGGCCGGCGCTGTGGAGGCTATGTTTTCTGTGCTGGCGGTCAAGGAGGTGAGTGGCCAGCTAGCCACTGCGGAAAATGCAGGCAGTGTATGCTGACAATCTACGCAGAACCTCATCCCGCCAACGTTGAATCTGGAGAATCCCAATGTTGGGCCGAAACTGAACTACGTGCCGCTCAAGACGCAGGAAAAGGAGGTCAAGGTTGCCTTGTCGAATAGCTTTGGATTTGGCGGTACGAATGCTACCTTGGTATTTGCCAAGTACCAGTGATGCACTTGGAGGGATCACATGTAGAACCTCTGTATCATCCTTGTCATCCTGTATCATCCTGTATATCAACACACCAATATTAACTTTACATAACTGCTCTTCAATGTCTGAGGCGATGCAACCCCCACGGAGACCCTGATCGCCCCCACCCAAGACGACATGTGCACAGCACCAACAGTGGCACCGATGGCCCGTGCACAGCAGCGATCCGTGGTTTCGCCGGCGCTAGCATGTGCTGGGAAATGGGGATTCCAGCTCCAGAAGGTCGATGCGTTCATCAACTTTTTTAGATGCATGACGTTCAGACACCCCGAGTAGTGGTCACGACTCTCCTCCTTCCACCCCCACCACCACCATCACCTCGCCTGCGTCTCTCGGAAGTCTAAAGCCACGGGAGCTTGGATCGAGCGAAACCCCCCTCGTGTATGCCATATCTCGCCCAGCACACCGCAACAATGGCCTGCCAAAGCTGCAGGCAGCACACCCGGCTCCTCGCCAGGAGCCTCCGCGCCACGGCCGACCTCTACCCAGCCGGCTTGACGACACTGACAAGAGCGACGGCGACGACGACAGCGAGTCCGACATCAACAGCCTCCTCCCCGGCAGCGTCCGCGAGACGACGACCCTTCAGCAGCTCCGCGTGCCGCCGCGCTGCAAAGACCCCCACGCGACCGTCAGCGCCCGCCTCGTCCGTCGGCCCAGGCACCCCCGGCACCGCCCCTGACGAGCAGACGGGCCCCGTCTCGGGCGCCCTCGCCGGCGCCCTGCGCGGCAAGTTCCAGCCCAACCTCGGCGGGAACCCCTACGTCCTCAGCAACCAGCTCGACAAGCTGTACAAGGTCTGCGCCGCGCCGGCCGCCTACACCATCTCCGAGGACCTTCGCAAGGCCGACAGCGTGCCCAAGACGGACGACGGCGAGGAGCTCGGCACGCCTCACGGGCCGTGGCTGCAGAGTGAGTTTCCTCCTGTTCACCCCTTCGATCCTCTCCCCATCTTCCTTCCCTTGGGGCTCCCCCCCCCCCCCCCCCCCCCTTTTAAGAAGAAAAGAAGAGGGAGCCGCCAAAAAGTATCTTAGCCCTCGGCCCGTTCAGCTCGTGGTCCCACGTCACCATGCTGCACATGTACCTCATCATCGCGCGCATGCGCTGCCTGGACCGCGACGCGGCGCGCACCATGCAGGCCCAGTTCGTCGACAACTTCTTCTTCGACTGCGAGCGCGTCATGCACCTGAACCACGGTATGACTTCTTCGGCGCTGCGCCAGCGCTACCTCAAGGACATCTTCATGCAGTGGCGGGGCCTCATCGCCGCCTACGACGAGGGGCTCGCCAAGAAGAGCGACAGGGTCCTCGCCGCCGCCCGTCTGGCGGAACCTGTTCAAGGCCCGCGAGGACGCCGACCTCCGGAGCCTCGCCGCCGTCGTCGCCTGGATGCGCGCCACGCTGCGCGACCTCGAGGGCATGGCCGTCGACGACATTGTCGCGCGGTCCGCCGCCGTCTTCCTGCGGGACCCGAGGGGCATGTTCAAGCTCGTCGACGAGCCGAGCGCCGCGCTCAAGGGCGTCTTCAAGGACGGCGACGCTGCTGAGGCGCCCCAGCCGGACGCCGTCAAGGCGTGAAGCGGACGTCTGCATCATCGCACAAACGGGGCGTTCCTAGCATGCCCTTCAAACTGTGCCTCGGATCTTCTCTGGGAGAAGTTTCGAATCCTGTCATAGGCCAGGATTCTATGTACTATGTATCACCAGCTCATCACAATACATGTAATCATAGTGTACAATGCTGAATATGCCTCTATGTTGAAACACGGGCTAGAAAGCAACAATGGCATGCAGCTGGCTCACTTTGGCATCTGACGGCTATGCATGCATGGTCTCTCATAAACTTCGTATTGCCTCATTGACCGAGCACTACCGCAATTCTACCGACGGAAAGTACCTCGGCCCCGCGAACCCCTTGGCTATCACAGCCTGAATATCGATGTTGCTCGACGATTCACGATGTGGACTCCACATCTTTAGTAAAATGAACCGCCCAGACACGGGCGGATCGAAGCGTATTGTACACTTGCTCTTGTCCTTCTCGATGAAAAACTTGGCATGAGGCACCATCAAATCACTGCCCCCGGCGCTGGCCTCGTGCGCTGCCTGCTGGTGTGCATTGGCAGCTTCGGCCAGTGTCATGTTCTGCGTGTCGCGCCGTCGGGCCGCCGGCGACCAGGCATCGACGAGGCCGTACTCGTCTTGCGCAAAGGGGTTGCCCTCGTCGCTACTATCGCTCTCAAAAGGTAGAGAACCGATCCGGTTGGGGGGTCGTCGATAGAACATATTCGTCATGGGTTCATCGCTCTCTTCCTCGTCGCATTCCGTCGTTATGTTGAATGGCGGCGGGTCAGTGGCAAAGTCGGGCGGCATCTGGGCCGTGCTTTGGTTGTCCTCTTCGTCATCAGAATAGTTATGGAGAGGCCTCGTGCGCAGCCGCGTCCGCGTGACGGTCGTACCATCATCATTGTGACGTATCGATATGATGGGCGCCAGAGCGCGCGGATCCCGAGTACGCCCTGATCTGGGGGGCGCGTACTGTATCTGATACTGAGTCGTTCGGGTGAGCAGATCGTCCTGGTTCATGGAGACAAATATCATGCCCTCGCGCACACTGCGAAACAGTGTTTAGCCATGATGGGGGGAGTCTACCCGAGGTCAGTCACTTACGGCGACGAGTAGTTGCATGACCCGGGCGCCTTGATGACGAGCTCCTTGAGACTGAAGACGGTTGCGCCCTGATGTCTCAGAACAATGTTGCACTTGCTAGACTTGGTGCAATACACGGTCGGGTCGTTCTTGAGTATGTTTTCGTATGCGTAGGAGGACTCGTTGGCGAAGAGCCCGCCGTCGCAGCTGACGATTTCCATGGTCAATTCGCCCGGTTCGACTTGTCCATATCGGCCGTATCGGAATCCTTTGAAGCTTGCAGCGATTCTGTCCGAGTCTAGCTTGCGTCGCTTGGGGCGACGGCTGTCGTCGGCGTATTCGGGCGGTCGTAGAACTGGGGACAAATGGCCGGGCGAATTCATGGAAGGATGGGACGGGGCTGAGGGCGAAAATGTCTGCTGCGGGCGGCGATGCCACATGGCTCTGACCGAGTCGACATCGTCCCCCTCGTCCTCGGGGGCTGAGATGTTCAGCCTCGACGACCCTCTGCCGCTCTGGGGTCCGCCTAGAGTGTGCATCCTCATCGGGGGAATGCGACGACGGGTGCGCCTCTGGTCGTCGTCATCGTCGGCCCAAGGGTCTGAGAGGTAGTTTCGTGAGTTGTCCTGGTTCGCCATGGGGTCGAGCTCCTGGGCTGCGTTACGCTGAATGTCCCGATGGTGCTCAAGGAAACGCACGGTACTGGCGCTGGCGGGGTTGTAAAGGCGGTTTGGGGCGGTCAGGTATTCAGAGTCACTCAGTAGTTCGTGATATTCTGCTTCAAACGCCCTGTCAGCAGCCTGTTGCCGACTTCGTAAGCGGGCTCGGTCGGTCCCGGTGACGGTGACGGTATTTGGTGGGAGGAGGGGGAAGAGGTGGTCGGCAACGGGGTGACTGAGAGTATTTCCGGGAGGTGCTGTCGAGGCGTCGATGGTCCGTCGAACCCAAGCCAAGTTGGCTCTCAGCGGTGGTAGTCGTCAATCCGAGGGAAGGGGTGGAAAGTCGGTATCTCGTGAATCTCGTGTTTGCCAGTGGTCGGAAGCCGGTGGCGGCATTCTTCGGTCGGGGCGGGGTCAGCTGGACAGAGAGGACGGGCAGAGCGGGCCGATGCAGTGTGCCTCTCGGAAGACTATGAGGTGCGAGAGATGTCTGCGGTAGGGCGTGGTGGCATAGCCAGGGCGATGCTTGACGTGATCTCGACTCTGAGCCGGAGAGAGGGTGGGAGGTTGCGGTGACGAAGCGGTGGGAACAGTAGACGTCAGGGCGCTGAGAGTTGAACAAGGTGCACCCTCCACTTTCAGGACGCCGATACCTACTACTTAGCCGGTGAGTGACTGATGGCGGGCGGAGGGCCAAGTGCGAGCGTGGGCGAGTAGACGGGCACGGCGTCTAGCTAGAAGGGGCTAGTGACGACTGTACCATGTGTGTCAGATGCACCCCTGCGCAGATTGGGACATGGTCGAGGCGCTGGTTCTCAGCTCAGATGCTGAGGGTAGGTCGATACCGTAGGTACACGGCAAGAGGCCATGTTGCTTCGGGACGAGCGAAGTTGAGGAGACTCGTTCTTCGATGTGAATCCGGCCTGCTACGATGTCCATCGCCAAGGTCATGCTGCCATTGCCAAGGCCGTGCTGCCATTGTCAAGGCCATGCTCCTCCCACCGTGTCCCTCTCCAAAGTCGTCCGGCACTCAATGTGCTTGCCACCCATCCTCGGCACTTCTTGCCTCGTGATCTCAGACGCACCTTCCCAAGAAGAATGTGGCAGGCAGGCAAGGTGCGCAGCTCTGATGCCTCTAACTTGTTGAGATGGAAGGTGCTTGCAAAGATACCTCCAGGAAGGGAAGCAGCAACGCCCCCCCCCCCCATATACGTCATCCAGTCACGGCCCAGCCGTATCTCGGAAGCCGCCAGGTGGCCCCGCTTAGCGCAACTGACCCAGATGGAGCTGCCCCAGCCGGGGCCCGTGCCTTTGGCTCGTCCAGGTACAAACCGACAGACACCAATGAAGGGCCTCCGCTGCAAACGCGACAAGTCGATCGACACCATGTCTTGACCATTTCTTCGCTTTTCGCTTTGTTCGCCTCGCCATCACAGTTTCCAACTCAAGCATACAGCACCTCCCTCCACTCTCAAGGGACTATCAAGGCCAACAAGTGCGCTCAAGTCGATGACTAGGCCACCATTGAGGATTGATAGCGAGGCAACTGTCATTCGTCTGACCCGTGCTCCTCGACACTCACTCATCCCTCGTGGACGCTCACCCAGCCTGATACTGGGTCACCAACCGAGTCGGCGCAACAGTATTCTGGATATCACAACCTAAGCTTCCCGACGAGTTGCAGGAGGCATAGAGTCATAGGGGTCTTTCCCATCTCATATCGGCGAACATCCCGAACCTCGACCGACTAGTCACTTGCGTTTCCGCGACTCCGCTACTCAAAGGACCGCGGTTTTCGTCTTCCACCTTCCATCTCACCACAACTGCCACCATGGACCCTTCAACAGACATCAACAACAACCCTCCGCAGGATCTCCCTGTCGACCTGAGCCAGAACTTTCATGCCGCCGCGATGGATCAGGTCCTTCCCGAGGCTCTCCAGGAAGTCGCGCCAGGCGCCATACCTGAGATTTTTCCCGGCATGCTGCCCACTGGCGAAATGTTCATGCCTCAACTGGCACAGACACAACACTTTGACCCGAGCCAACAACTGTTCCAAGCAAACGGTGTCATTCCTCCCATACCGCACAACGCCATCAGCGCTGGTGAGCGAGCACCTGCCCTCTTCCCGTGGCTGTCGAGCACAAGCTAACCCATCTAGATGAAATCGCCCTCTACGACCGCCAGATTCGCCTCTGGGGCATGAAGGCCCAGGAGAAGATTCGCGGCGCCAACATCCTGCTCATCACCATGAAGGCCCTCGCCAACGAAGTGGCCAAGAACCTCGTCCTCGCAGGCATCGGCTCCCTGACCATCTGTGACGGTGACGTTGTCACCGAGGCCGATCTCGGCTCCCAGTTCTTCCTTGCCGCCGACCACTCGCTCGTTGGCCAGAATCGCGCCAAAGCCGCCGCTCCCGCCGTCCAGAAGATGAACCCACGCGTCGTTGTGCACGCCGACGCCGAACGCGTCCAGACCAAGGGGTCCAGCTACTTTTCGGCCTTTGACATTGTCATCGCCACGGACCTCGACTCCTTCACCCTGAACATTGTCAACACAGCGACTCGCCTGCACAACAAGGCATTCTACGCTGCCGGCTGCCACGGCCTCTACGGGTTCATCTTTGCCGACCTCATCGAGCACGACTACGTCATCCAAAGAGAGCTCAGCAACGTCGCCACCAAGCTCGGGCCCGAGACTCGTACTCGCAGCGTCGTCGATGTCCAGACGAAGAAAGAAGGCGGAAAGACCATCGAGTCCGTCACCAAGCGCGAGCTCTACTCAACGTGGTACCTCGCCAGCGACGTCGTCGCATCCCTGCCCCGCGAGTACACCCAGACGCCCCGCCGCAAGCGCGCCGTCACCCCCGCCCTCTCTTGCCTCCGCGCTCTCTGGGAGTTCCAGACGCTGAGCGGCGGGCGCCTGCCGGGGCACACAAAGGAGGATCTCGGCCTCTTCACCAAGCTGGCGACGGCGCAGCACGCGCAGCTGGGCCTCCTCTCCGAGACGCTTCGTTCCGAGACGCTGCGCAGCTTCCTCCAGAGCCTGGGCGGTGAGATGGCGCCCGTCGCCGCCATCCTCGGCGGCCAGCTCGCGCAGGATGTCATCAACGTCCTCGGCCAGACGCAGCAGCCCATCCAGAACACGGTCGTGTTCGACGGGAACACCATGGAGGCAAACGTCTACCCGCTCCACCCCTCCGGCGCCCTGGGCCGCGACCTCCTGTCGGAGAGCATGCCCGCCGCCCTGCCCAACGGTGGCGTGGCCCTCGGGGATCCGGGCATGATGATGCCCATGTCGATGGACGGCATGGACTTTGTCGGCGCGGCGCCCGTGGTGACGCAGTAAGGTCTGCGACAGGGGCACGAACTACACTAGCATCTCGGAAACGCGCGCCACTTTTTGAAGGGGGGGGGGGACATGGTAGAACGACCAAGCTGGTCACATGACGCTACAGGGCGCGGGCGAGAGGCGAGGCCGGAAGATATCAAGGATATGATAGAAGAAGACAAAAGGAGCGCAGGGCAGATTTCTGATCTGCATAATAGCATTTTGATTTCGTCGACAGCATGTAAGGTCTGTGAATACCCGTGACATTCTCATTCGGATCGACTTGGATCCGCATACCACTCCATGTCAACCCTGCTTCGGCTTCAATCTCTCAACTTGCCCAAGTCCCAACAGGCTTTGGGGCGAGAACAACAGACTGTCACAAGTGCAACATCACGTCACGAGGAGCGATGCAGTCATGTTCTTTTCCTCAAGGACTTTCATTCCGCAGGCATACCAGCCTCTTGCACACGGAGGTGCCTATGCAGCAAAGAAAACACACAAAAAAAAACCCCCAAAGACTTCTCTTACTCCCTTTATCACACAAACAAGAAAAGCAGAAAAAAACGCAAAGTGCAGAAAGAGGAGCTCTCGCGCATCGCTCCGTTTCTGGGTTGAGAAGGGGGGAACCCACTGAACAATATGCAGAGGAACGAGACCCCGCGGTGTTGTTCACAGATTGTTCCCCCCCACCAATCCACTTTGCCTCTGGGTCTCATTGACATGTCGTTCTCCTCCTTAGACTGTCATCGCCGGAGACCATTCGCGTATCCATCCGTCCGTCGGGAAGGGGAAGAGGGCCGCCCTCATGCCATTTCCAGACGATAAGCTGAAGAAATATAATGCTAGACGCAACCTTGTCCCCATAAACACGGGGACGAAGGGCGAGAGGGAAATGATCCTATGCCGCGCCCATGGTGATACACAAAAAATGTCAAAACCAACGCCTCGCTGTGTGTGTGTGTCAAGATTCACCGCGGACCACATCCTTTTTTCTTGATCACGCTCTCCATACTCGCGCTCTACCCCAATTTGCTCAGTCCGTGGTCGTCTTCGGCTTCCGGGGTCGCAAACCATATCGATTCGCCCGTGGAGGAGACGCATCTGCCTCCGCCCCAATGATAGGCTCTGGGGCTGTCTTTGAAGCAGCGTCCCCCACGTCTTTCTCGACCGACTGAATGGCAGTCGAGATGAGTGCCTTGCTCGCCCTCTTCAATATCCTGGGGGCCGTCGTCTTGGGAACTTTCGGGGCACTCTGCGCTGTTCTCCTCGAGCGCCGTTTGGGGCTCTTTTGGTCGGCACTTTGAGCCGGCATACTTTCAATTATAGTTTTGGGGGTCGTCTCCCCGTTATACTCGGGTTTCATTGTAGTTCTCTCGTCCGGAGCACGGGGAATGCGAGCCGGTCGAAGCTCCCCGACGTCGTCGTTCCTCTAATTCGAACCACGCCGGTCTTGGGCTGGCATGCTGTGGCGCCCTTTTTGCTGCCACTGATTCCACGATCGAACAGTCTGTGGGCCGCGGGCCGGCGGCTGCTCGGTAGGTGTGTAGTCTTTGATATTGTCCCCGGGGACGTACTGAACAGTTCGGAGCTCCTGCGATGGGCCGTGGCCCTGTCGGTGCGCGGGCAGCGGCGCCGGGGCGAGCTCTCGGTATCGCCCGGCATTGTTGGGCGTAGATGCTGCGCTTCCCGCCTTGCCGTCAAAGTTGGGTCCACCAAATGGCTGAAGCGTGAACGGCATCATAGAAGGACTCTCGCCCATCGGTTGTGTGGGGGAGGGCGCAATGTTCGCATAGGAGGAGGAGTAGCTTTGGGTGCCGTATGGCGACGGCATCGCATGGTTCGTGCTGATACCAGGGAACGGGTAGCTCCCGGACCCGTGAGAAGGTGCACCGGACTGCATGCGAGAAAAGGGCGTGTCCTGGCTATGCCGACCTCCGCCGTAAGGGTAAGCCCCATTGCTGTTATCTGTATGGCTCTGCTGTTGAGGCCGTAAGGGAGGAAGCGACGGCGACCTGTGGTCTAGATGAGGGTTTGAGAATGGCATTCGCGAAGCCGGTGGTGGCCGAGGCTGAGAGCTATAGGTGGGTTGGTGTCGCCCGTAGCTGATCGGATGAGGATCAGGCTGCACGGACAACCTGGAGTCAATCTCCAATCGGGGGTCGATAACCCCATAATGGACTTGGGGGGGATCATGATATGATCGCAGGGACGACATCTCAATGGGGCGGGCGGGAGCCGTTTCCTGGTGCATGATGGACCGAATCGGCGTTGGTTCGATAAGGTGACTGGAGGACTGGCGCCCCCGACCGCGAACCGGCGTTTCCATGAGAAGAGGGCCATCATGTTGCAGAGCGCCAGGGTGGAAGGACCCGCGCAGAGAAGACTCCTCAATCGGTGGCAGTGATACGGAAGATACGGGATCTTGCCTGAGGTGGCCGGGCAGCTTGCTCGGTGCTTCGTCATGGGTCCTGTGAAGGGGAGGAGGTTGATCCTCCATAATGTGAGCTAGCGAGTGTCGCTTCTCCGGCGGCGCCTCGGTCTCGAGCATATCGTCCTCTCTCGAGCGCTTGGAGGCTCGCCCCATAGCGGGAGCCGCTAAAGGAGCAGCAGCAGCAGCAGCAGCAACCGGCTGGTGAGGAGGGACCGCCGCGCACAGGTCGGCGAGAGCAGACAAAGCCAGGGTGTCAGGTACCTGAGGAGGTGGCTGCACGGCAGGGGCGTGCTCGATGAGCATGTCGCGAATGGCATCGTACCTTCTGATGGGACGGGTTGCAGCCGCCTCGGGCGGCGCCGTTGGAGCCACTTTGGGCTCTTCTGTCGACAGGGCGGCTTCGCAGAGGCTGGCCAGGCCTTTCGAATTGGCCGCGGAGGCGTTGTCGGGGATGAACTGAGCTGGCTCGGGAGTGGCACGTGCCGATTCTTCAAACTCGGACTGTCCAGCCGATTCAGTGGTGGCCATCTGCTCCCGCTGCGCTTCCATCTCAGCGCGGATCTTCTTGAGGTCCATCGTCTCGGGCGTCTCAAGCTGGTCTGCGTCTATACCATCACGCTCACAGACTGCTGCGAGAACAGAGGCGCAATGCCTGTGCAACTCCTTGTCTCGATTCTTCAGCTCGGTGCTGATGGTTTGGAATGCCCGCGAGGCGTGGAGGGTCTTGCCGCTGGGGGTAAGGTAAACGACAGGCTTGTTCCTGATCTCGTCGGTCTTGGGGGACTCGGCATCGTTCTTGCTCTGAGGGAGGAAGTAGCCGTAACGAGGATGCAGCTTGTGCTTTTCGACGACTTCCTGGTCCATGTCTTCCTCGACCGCTGCGCGAGCATCATGTCTGGCAAGCATGGGATCGTAGTGCCACGTATTGGTATCATTGTGACCGTAGTACTTGCCTCTCTTGGCCAGGGTCGCAGAACGCGTGGGATCGTTGGTCGAGTCGCGATAGCCGATCTCGATGGGATCGAGCTCCCACGACGGAGGCACGATGATGCGGTTGTTGATGAGCTTTTGGTCCTTGATCTCTTGCTTTGTGGGCACCCTGTTCACCTGGCGGCAACCATACTCGTCGGGTGGCGACACCCAGGCCGGGAGAGCAGGCTCACGGTCTTTGGGGGCCACAGGCGCGGTGCCGTTGGCGTTCTCCGGGACGGGGGTGCTTTCGCTCGACTGCTGCTCCGAGGTGTCGGCGTCCACGGTGGGCTGGGCGGAGAGCATGCTCTGCGTGTGCTTGACGGGCGCCACTGGCTGGTCCTTGGCCCTGCGCTTTGGCTGAGCCTTTGTGGGTGCCTTGCCTTTGGTGAAGGGCTCGGGCTCGGGCTCGGCAACCGCTGGAGCAGGCGCCCACGCAGCAAGGCGGCCGTAGTAGGCCTCTGTGCCCTCGACAAGCTGAGGGTAGGGGACGAGGTGGCCATTGTGGTAAACCTCGTAAGGGCCGAACTCGTCGATCTCCTTGTCTGTCAATTGCTTGTAGAGATACTTCTCATCCGGGGTCTGCTTCCGAGTCAGTCACGAAGTTTTGGCAGTGTGAGAAAGAGGCATGGAAAGGGGATACGTACATCGATCGGCAGACCGTTCTCCCAGAGCTCTTCGAGGACGTCGAGGCGTCGAATTTGGGCGTCGAGGAAGCGTTCCTCAGCATCCTCCAGGCAGTTCTGTGAGACGGGACGGGGTGGGTTAGCAAGAGCCTCTTTTTTTCGTTTTTTTTTTTTGCGACCCCTTCGTTTCCTCATCGGAAAAGAAGATGACAGCAGCATGAGGCGATTTACCTTGAAGATGGAGTGGTAGGCCTGTGTCTTTTCTTCGTGGAATTTCAGCTCAGCATTGGTGCTGATGACGCGGCGGCGGGCGGCCTTGTCGACTTCGGCGTCGAGTCTAGCGTTGAGTTCCTTGATGAGGACGTGATACTCGGGGACGCGCTTGTGGTAGTCGGCGTCCTCCTTCATGGCCTCGATCTGCCTGTCGGCGAGGTCGGCCAGGGCGGGCTTGATGACGGAGGCGAGCTCGTTGTAGTAGGCCTTGAGCTCGCGCTGACGCTCGTAGCTGGCCTGGGTCTTGTCATCGTCGAATTGCTTTGTGCGACCGCGACGGCCGCCGATGGTTCTTTTGGGACCGGCGGCGGCGTTGGCTGCGGCGATGGCGGCGGCCGTGGCCTTCTTGGTGGCGGCAGCGGATTTTCTGCCACGACCACGACCCTTGCCCTTCTGGGGCGTGGGTTTGGGGGTCGGCGTTGGCGTGGCGGACGCCGACTCTGCCGGCTGTTCTGTATCAGACATGATAGCGATGAGGCTTCATGAATGAATTGCGAAGCGGGCAAAGGGGGGTGGGTGGCTTGAGGATAGCGTGGGTTGAGGGTTGAGGAAGGGTACCTATGTGGAATGATAGGTCTGGAGAAGGGCAAAAAAGAGGCTCGGGTGAGTTTGGGTGTGTGTGTGTGTGTATGTGTGTGAGTTGGAGAGAGCCTTCGCCGGCAGACCCTCCGAATAAGAGGAGAGGGGCGATGTAGGGATGCTGGGAAAACAGTGGAAGGGGATGAGGAGATGCTGGAGATGAATGTGAGAGAGGCGAGAGTGAGGCTGGAGGTTGGCCACCGAGGGTGTGCGTGGTCAACGTCGTTCCTTCCACGGATGATGGTGAGAAGGGGGCGCAGAAAGGTGGCAGGCGGGCGGATGGCGATGTTTTCCTGGCGACGAATCGGGAGATGGGGCAAATGAAAAGGACATCAGCAAAAAGAGCAGCTCTCGCTGAGCAGAGGACAATGGTTTTGCGAATGCGCAGGGCGCGGTGAATGGCCCTGGATAGCGACGGCAGGGACTCGTCGTCGAGGTCGATGGTGGCCCTTTTTCTCCCGGCTGCAACAATAATACGTCCACGTCCAGATCTGGCTCTGGCTGGTCGCTGCTGGCTGGTGCCTCGCGCTGGGTGCTTGGCCTTGGCCGGTCTGGGGCACGACCTGCCGTGCGAGGTACCTAGGTACACGCTACAGACCACAGGCCACAGGCCACAGACCACAGACCACAGACCACAGACCACAGGCCACAGGCCACAGGCCACAGGCCACAAGGCCCCCATCTGCGCCGTGTGGACCAGTGTCAGTGGACCACCCCCCCCGAGAGCACGCGCTCTCCTGCCAGCTACAGCCGCAGACGCCAGCCAATCCGGACGACGCTGGGCCGCTCACACGCCACCTGATTGGACCGGCGCCTGTGAAAATCCGGGAGCCGCAAAAATCTGACCCCTGTACTCAGGGGATGTATCGTGTACCTTACTTGGCACTGGGCCAACCTGGGAAGGCCACCAATCCGCCTTCTCTCTGACTTCCGAGGTGAAAGCATTCTGCAGAGCACGGAATTGCGGAGGTGAACTGCTGGTTGCCGGCCGGCAGGCAGACGTGGTATATGGTTTGCATGGTCAAGAATCGCGTCGATGGAAACCCATTGATGCCAGGTATCCAGTGATGCCAGGTATCCAGCCTCGAGCTCCTCGACCGACAAGTCGACTATCAGTGTAAGAGCCTTATGATGAAAAGGAGAACGTGACGGTCGGCATTGTTCCTCGCCATGACGTGTCTATGCTTCTTCTATTAGCCGGCATTATGAAATTCTTTGACAACTATATTTGTTCTCTTGTTGGCTCGGCCGCTCCCTTGATCTGAAACCCTGTCGATCGCTGGCCACCTCATGCAGAGCAAGCACCAAGTCGTGCTGTGGCTGTGATGGCAACATTTGAGCCAACGAAGTCGATTGCCACTGGAATGATTGAGTGCAGGCCATGATAGACAATGCTTCTCCGAGGCAAAAGGGCAAAAGATCTCTGAGGCTAACGAGTCTTGCTCTCCTCTCAGAGTTTCTTTTCCAATACAGCTCGCTCCCAGCAAAGTTGGCCATCTCCGCGCACTCCCTCCATCAGGTCCCGAGTACCTGCAGCGCCCCACAACGCGCTTTCCCCCCAATCAGCACCATCCCAAGCCAGCGGCATGGCGGGACATTCCCGACCCGCCCGGCGCTACCACCGCCGATAGAAAAAACGTCAAGCATAATCGCCGTGGGGCAGAGCCCGGCACCTGTGTCCTCCCTCCTCCCCCCCCCCCCTCTCCTGAAGTAACCTTACCTCCGACTGCCCGCGACGACATTGTCTCCGGCTGTAACACGAACGGATCGTCACCATGGCCAAACGACGCGTCGGCTCCAACTTTCCCGACGCTCCCAGCCGCTCCAAGAAACTCAAGCACAGCGCCCCTCCCCCGCCAAAACACCCCAAGAACAAGACCGCCTCGAAGCAGAAGCAGCAGAAGCAGCAGAAGCACCAGCAGCAGCACCAGAACCAGAAGCCCGTCCTGCCCTTTCGTCCCCATGACGCCATCCTCCTCGTCGGCGAGGGCGACCTCGGTTTCGCCGCCAGCCTCGCCGCGCACCACGGCTGCACCAACCTGACGGCCACGGTGCTCGAGAAGAACGAGGCCGAGCTGCTGGAGAAATACCCCCACCCCAGCGAGCACATTGCCAAGATTCTCGCGCCCAACACGGCCCAGCCTCTCTCCGACAGCGACAACAACAACAACAACAACAACAACGGCTCCGAAGGCGAAGACGAAGAAGACTACGACAGCGACGGCAACCCCCTCCCCGCGGCCCCCCAACCACCGCCGACGACGAACCGCATCCTCTACAACACGGACGCCACGGCCCTGCGCCCCTTCACCGCAAAGGTCGACCACGGCCCGCGCACCCTCCTCGCCGGCAAGGTCGGCGCCTTTGCGCACATTGTCTTCAACTTCCCCCACGTCGGCGGCCGCTCGACGGACCAGAACCGCCAGGTCCGCCACAACCAGGCCCTGCTCGTCGCCTTCTTCGCGCGCGCCCTGCCGAGCCTCGCCCCCGGCGGCCGCGTCACCGTCACGCTGTTCGAGGGCGAGCCCTACACGCTGTGGAACGTCAGGGACCTGGCGCGCCACGCCGGGCTCGACGTCGACACGAGCTTCCGCTTTCCCTGGGCCGCCTACCCCGGCTACCGGCACGCGAGGACCCCTGGGCGTCGTCAAGGCCAGGGGCGGCGCGCGGAGAGGCGAGCACGGAGACGAGGGCGGCGCCCAGCAGCAGGAGCAGGAGCAGGAGGAGGGGGAGGGGGAGGGGGAGGGAGACGAGGAAGAGGAGGACGGCAGGGAGGGCCGAGGGCCGCTGCAGGCGCGTCGCAAGGGCGAGAGCAAGACGGCGTGGAAGGGCGAGGAGAGGGCCGCGAGGAGTTTTGTCTTCAAGAGGAAGGAGGAGGCTGCCGGGGACGCTGCGGGCAAGAACAAGAACAAGCAGAAGCAGAAGCCTGAGGCTGAAGCTGGCGGGAAGAAGAAGAGGCACAAGATTGATGTCTCCGATTCGGATTCCGACTCTGACGAATAAAGGCGACTAGAACTACAGCGGGCACAGACGCTGGCACGCGAGTTGCTGCGAATAGGAGTTCTTTGGATTCATTTACGGCGCCGGTAGAGAAGTCAAAAAAGAAAAGACGGTGGGATCGGTTTTCATGGAGGCATTGATACCCAGACATAAAAAGTTCAGAACAGTTGTATACATATATGTACATGCATATCTATATCCAGTCCGACGCGTGAGCGCAGCGCCCCTTGACTTTCAATCATCACACACGTCACTCTCCAGAGACTCGTCTCCATCCAACACGTCAGGTACGGAGCACATCTCATTCAAGAACCACCCTTGTCCCCTCCAACCCCCAAAGCGTCGAGCTGCCCCGCTCGGAATGATGCCCCGGATACTCATACACGAGCAACAGTATGCGTATGCGCGCAAGCGTGTCCCAAAAGCCAAAAACCAGCTACCGTTTCGATCAAACGCCGTGTTTCCCTTTTGCTCCAATAACCCTCGTGGGGGTTCGATCAGTAGTGCAAGCCTTGCTCGCCGCCTCATACGCTGGCTACGGTCGGGCACGATCGCCCGCCATCTGGCCGAGCGGCCATGGTCCCTATGCATATCATCTCAACCCCAAACGCCGATGCAGCCATATTACTCGTCCGTCGGTGCAAAAAGAGAGGGAAGGAGACAGTTCAAGCACGGACTTTTTCGCGAATAATTTACAGATCCCTCCTCCATGACAAAGGCCGTCCGTCAACCTCATGCTTCTTGGCATGCGTTTTCGAAGAACACTGCAGCTCATTATGTTTGTCCCTCTTCATTCGATGCTCTTTCGTGTCTTCTTCACTTCTCAAGCACCGCCCTGAGGCGGTCCGTCGTTGGGCGCGGCATCGCCCGATAGAATGACGCCGCTATTAGGCGCGTGTCCGTTGAGCACCAGGTGCTGCTCCTCGAGACGAGCGGCACCGTTGGCCGAGCTGTTCCTTTCAGCCGCCTCGAGGCGCTCGGCCTCCTCGTTCTCTCGCATCAGGGCTTCTTCTTGCTCACGCAGCGCCAGTTGCTCAGCAGTCAGGGGCTGCTGCTCTACAGCTTCAGCATCGACGCCAATCTCCATGTCCTCGGCCTCTGGGGGAGGTGGCGGCGGAGGTGGCGGCGCCTGATCATCTAGGTCGTCCTCTTTGACACGTTTCGCAGAAGGTGAGCCGGCTGGCGTCAAGTCAGGAGAGCCAGCATCGAGCTGCTCTCGCTTTCGCTTCCGCTCAAGACTGCTAGCCGACGCAGTCTCAACATCGTCAACGTCGGAAAGAACCACATCATCATCAGCGTCGACTATGGGAATGTCAGCGGTCGTAGTCGGCGCCGACGATTCCCCTACTCCAGCACCATCCGAACTTGGCAACACAGAGGAAGGGAGTGTCTGCCCGGTCCGCTCGGACTTCTTGCTCTGGCGCTCCTTGAATTTGATGAGAGCGCGGTCAAGAAAGTCCTTGACGTACTGCTTGATCGTCTTGACCTTCTTGTGATTGATGGCGACCGTGGGGTCCTCGACGCGATTCTTACGGTAATCCGAGGAAACAAGCGTCTTGTTGACTTCTTTGCCGAGCCTCTTCAATTCCTCCTTGGGCAGCTTGTGGCGGTACTTGTCAAGGACATACTTGACGTGCGGGAAAAGCTGGACATCGTCAGCATCAAGGTCGAGCTCGACTCGAGGCGCAGCCACTTACAGTGTTCTCGTAAATTTTCATTTGCTTCTCGATTGGCAGAGAACGCCACTTCTCCTTCTTCGGGTCCTGGACAGGCGTGTCCACCTGCTGCGGAGTGCGCGATGCCGACGACTTGGGTGTTTCCTTTGTGACCTGCTGGATGATGCTCTGCAGGAGCTGCTGTTCCTGTTTGGCCTTTGAAATGGCCTTGGGTGCGTCCGGCGCGGGCTTGCTGGGACGCTGCCACGTGGTATCACCGCTCTTCGTATAAAAGTAGACGTTTCCACGCTTGTCCGTGTTCTCGAACCAGCCCTCGGGCAGGGCGCCTTGCTGCTGCTGAAAGTACGCAGGATGTCTCCGCGGCGGCCGATTGCTCTGGAAGAAGTTCTGGTTCCTCTGGGGGATCGTGCTGCGCGGACCCTTGGGGACGTCGGCACCCAGTACAACAGGCTCCGGCTTGGACCGGTCCTCTTCGCGGTCAATGTTACGGCGCTCCTCGAAGGAGTTTATGGCGGCCGGTGCCTTGGGGTCCACCTTGCGCCGCCTGATGCGGTACGCAACCTCGAGCTTGCTCCATTCTTCCAGAAGTCGCCTGGACTCGGCTGCCACGACAGGATCCTCCGAGTGGGCCAGAGTCTCAATCGTCGCTTCGATCTTGGAATCCTGAATCTTGTTGCGCGTGAGACGCGGGAATTTGTCGAGAATATCCAGCACCTGAGCAACAACATTCTTGTCGTCGATGAAGGTATTGAGCGTCGTCCGCAGAATCTGGTACGCGTGCATGCGCATGACGCAGTTGAGCACCTGCTTGTCGTCGCAGCGCTGAATACGTTCCAGCAGCTTGACGGCAATCCACTTTTCCTTGCACTGCATGAGCGAGGCCATGACTTTCCTTGCACCCTCCTCGTCCAGGCCACGAGCTTGCACGCTGTTAACGTAGTCCTCGTCATCTTCCTCGGGCTTCTTCTTGCGCTGCTTCTTGGCCACGGCCGTATCCCAGCTGTCGCCATCGTCGATGCCGAGGGCCTCCACCGTCGCCAGGGGTAGCTTCGTAGCTCGCTCCGTCTGGGTCTTGCCGCCGATATACCCAGTGCAGTTCGGCTCGCCGCAGTAGCACGGTTGAGGATCAGCGCCGTATCGGTCGACGTTGTAGTTGAAGACGAGCTCCTCACCAGCAGCAATCCCCCGCAGGGTGAAGATGCCCATACGCAGCTTGTCGCCGACAACCCACTTGTCGACATAGCAGTTGGGATTGCAGGAGTGGTTGCAGAACCTTCCCAGGTTGCCCTTCTTAGTGGCATCCACGAACTCGTGCTTCGTTAGGGACATGAAGTAGAAATGCTTGATGCCTTCGTCATCGTACTGCACCATGCGGCGTCGAAAGGTGGGTTCATTGATGACCTCACCGATGTACTCAAAGATGAAGTCATTCGCCTGCATATCGACATTGGCGCGAAGGCCGAAGCCCTTCTTCTCCGTCTTGATCACGGAAACATCCGCGTAAGCCTTGCGCTGAAACCGCTGGTTCTGGCACCCGTCGCCGCAGTTCCCCGCGCCCATAACACACTCCATCTTGGTGGCGCGGTTGATGCAGTCGGAATCCTCGTCGCACGAGTGGTTCTCGCCATTTTCTGTTGTTGCACCAGACAGTTAGCTACGTGCACGGAGGCGAAAAGCACAAGGATGTCCGACTTACGCCATTCTTCACGGCAGTCGCAGTCCAGGGCGTCATTGTCCGTGGACCCCATGTGCTTTGAGCCGTAGAGACAATCAGGAATACGTTGGAACGTGGCACAAGCATCGTCGGTCATGTCTGGGTAATGCTCAAAGGTCGGAGCCTCCTGCTTGGCCACTTTCTGGGACGCCTTGCGCGAAGACTTGGAGCCCTGCGTGGCCTCGGGCGTGGACACGCCTTCTGTGCCATTTTTTGTCTCAACGGGGGTTCTGCTAGATGACCGGCGGCGACTAGAGTTGCGCGACGCAAGCTTGTGACCGTGGGGGGAGGATCCTTCTTCTTTCTTGACATTCAACCCATTGACAGTTCCATCTTCTGTCTTGAGTTCCTCCATCTTTGTCGTCGCTAGCCCATCCTCCATCGAGCGGGCGAAGGAGCAGTTGTTGGGATTCGCGGGTTCGATTGTAGCACCAAGGACAATGAGCTGTATTGCGTCGGCTTGGGGGCGAAGGCACCGGGACGCGGTCGACTAGTTCAACTAGGACGAGTACGTACGTGCTTCTGCTTTCGGCTTTTGTGTCGAGATGCCAGGATGGATGAGAAAGTGCAGCTGCTCAGAATGCGGCTTGCACTGCTGCCGGTCGGAGTCTCGCCTGTACTGCTAGAAAGACAGGGAATTGAGGGTTGGCAATTTCGGTACGGGAGAGAGACGTCCAATACTACAGGCAATGCACCGCTTGGCCTTCCAACGAAGACTCTCAAAGGCCTTGGAGGAAAAGCCTGGGGAGCCAGGAGACTGGGGTGCGAGCGTGTAGTCTTGTTGGGCGGCAGGTTCGCTTGGAAGGAAGGCTCTTTGGTGTGCTCGCGGGTCGCGAGTCGGTGATTGTCACGTCGGTGGTGATCTGCTCCGGCTGGGACTGGTCGATCGAAGTGTGCACGAACGAGTCTCCGCTGACGGGGGCTTCAGCCTCGAGAGAAAGGCGAGGACGGTGATGAGGTCAATGGATCGGTCCAGAGATTCGTGGCATTGTCAGCATTCGGCACGTCCCGAGACCCTACCTCCAGCATCAGACTTTGCAGTGGTGGCAGAGAAAGGGAGGGAGAGGAAGAGAGAGAGAGAGACGGAGTGGAAGTGTTGGGGACGAAGACAGAAGCAGCGGCAGCGGCAGCGGCAGCGGCGATAGCGACGCGCCACAGAATTTATGGGTCCCAGGTCGCGATTCAAAGGATGCTCATGCGCCAATGTGAGCAGCAAGAAAGAGTATGTAGCTTGTCGCGTTGCTTCGGGATGTGGTGTTTATGGCCAAGGCAAGACAAAGATGGTAGAGTTGGATGCAAGACGTACAGGCCTCATGAAGAACTTCACAAAGCCAGCAGAAAGTAGGCGCGGGCGCAGGAAATTGAATGCGTTCTGTCAAAGCGAGGAATCTCACGTCGGATCCGAGGGTGAGAGGAGTACCCTCGAGCACTGCAACAGCGCCGACAACCACAAGCTCCAGCAACCTAATATCGCGCACGGGCCATGTTCACACAAGGACGTCCTTAATACCGATGTAGAATTCGAGCAGACTATGTGGCTTGGCAGGTGTCTGAGTTGCGTACCTTCGATACCTTACCAGGATCATTACCCAGGTAAGGTACCTAAGGTAGGCATGATGAGGCAAGATCCAGGAGGGCATCGTCACCTCAGACAATGCAGACTGCCCATTTTATTCGCAAACGACAAATCTCCACAAGCTGGTGCCGGTTCAGTAGATGCTTCATTAACCCTACTGTCCAGCTCCGTCTCCTGTGAAGACTCTTCATCTCCACTCCCCGGACGGCCAGCCATGGCAGTTTCCTCGTTGGCGGTCCTGATGCAGGTGAACAACAACGTTTATAGCAAGCGCTGAGTGGAAAGCATACCTCTCAAGATACTACTCCACAGGTATGAAGTCGCGCAGACGTGGACAAAGACACTTGTCACGCTCAGCTGTGGCGGTGGTGGATGAGCGCCTCACCGAGCCTGGGCCGGGTTTATCCCAGGTGTAACACTTACACCGAAGTGTCACCCATAGATAGCGTGCCCCATGCCAACCCTCGTTATTGTTTGACGTTGCGAAGAAATATCAGCACATTGACTGTCAGTCATTCGCTGTCAACGTGATTCCCTGAATCACTCACCACCGTTGTGGGAGCAGTCCCTGGTTGCCGCTGAAACACCAGAGCGGTTCGTCCCAAGTACTGTAGTGCCGATGAGTTCGTGGCCCCCCAACAGCCTCGGGGCTACTGGTGCAAAGATAGTGTGTGCGGCAGCATGGAGAAGCATGGAGATTGACTGCAGGAGCTGCAGTCGGTTACTGTCAGGTTGGGCAATTGGACATCTCTCGGCCGTGCCTGAATTCAGCTCACCGACTTTTTGAGTCCACGTTGCAGAGTCGCCCTGTCCAAGGAAGCACCGCAGGCACCCCCGTTGATTCCCAAGACGCATCCTGGACCGGCGATGGTTCCGAATCTTCGACGCCAGGGAATTGAACAGAGTGAGGCGATGCCAGCGCACCAGGAGCGTAGCTTAGCATCGTCATGGGCGAGCCGTCCGGCCGTTGCCCCCCTGCCGGAGCCATTGATAGCGGCTGGTTGTACGGGGGTGGGTCCCCGATGAGAACCTGCCAGCTCACTGTGCATGCGATCGATCCCACAAAGCTGGGAGAGGTGGCCCCGTCAAGAGTTGGGTGTCGATGGGGTATAAAGACGGCCGAGGGACGCCAGAGCAGGTGTGCAGTCCATTGCATCTAGGTCTCTCGTCCGGGCGTTGACAATCCGACATTCCAGGGCCATGCATTTCATCCACGTCTCGTGGCCTTCCCTGAGCCTCATTGCGCCGCGGCATCTCTGACGGCCATCTTCCGACCCTTTTCTCCGCCGATCGAGAAACCCCGAGCCCAGCGATTGTGGGCGGGAGCGGCTGTTGTCATATGTGACGAACCCGTGTCCCGTGCTGCGGAAATCCAGTCCCGAGAACTGATTGGCGAGAGAAGAATCCAGTGATCTTTTATGCCAGGCCATTGGAAGAGGACATCGAACCCCCCCTTCTGCCAGCGAAGTGGCGGGTCGACCAATAAGGTCAAGCAGGGGGCTTGCGACTAATCGAGGTTACACGGACCCTTGGAATGCTGTCGGTTGCTTATTCTATCGTCGACTGCTCCGCCCAAAGGGTCCTTTCCATGACCACTGCGGCGATTGTGTCGAGAAGGCAAATCAGGTTGGGCGGAAGAAGGGGGGACAAATTTCCGCGGCCTGATGATGCACGAGGAGCCACGAAGCAGGTGAGGCGATGGGGGCCGCATGGCGCCACTGTCTGTACAGGCAATGGCAGACCAGTCTGGTCTTGAGAATCTGGTTCAGCGGTCAGGCGGCAGACTCGCCGCTCCGGATTGGCCATCGGCATGTCCCCTTTGTCGACCGACATGCGGCACGCTGCAGCTACAGCAGCTGCACCAAAGACCAGCACCGCCAGCCGGCGCCCTCCCACGATTTCCAAAGGGCCATGATCCGGCTGGGCGTACCCGGCACCTGCGGTAGGTCAGTCCGGATGTCTTGACAGCAGCCAGTCCCCCAACGAGGTGAGGCTTCCTGCAAACTGCGGGAGACTGGGGTGGTGGGAGTGGGGGGGAGGAGCATGCCTGGCTAGAAGGCTTGCATGCACGGCAAGGAGCGAGCCATGGCATCTGGCGATTTCTTTCGATGCAACGGTCATCTGGACGCAGAAGACGGGCCCGCTCATCTGGCATTTCTGGTCTTTTAGGTGTTGAGGCGGCATGCGCGCGCATTGACGAGCCCCGCGGGGGACTCCATTGCTATTGTCATTGCCGTCATTGCCTGTCACGTCGCAGCTCGACATGCTGTTCGAGGCATGACAGCTGCGGGAACCATGCACGCGCTGGTTCGGAAAATCTACGCAATGGGCAGAGTGATGTGAAGGTTGACAGGAGGAGGAGGGGGAGCAAAAAGTCAAGAAGTGATGGAGGGGGGCGGGCGACAAGCGCCACTACGAAGATGAACGACAAGAAGGGACCTACCCAGGTCTCTTGCCTTGCCTTGGGCTTTGAGGACGTATGCCTGGCGGTGGGCAACTGCAACTGCAACTGCAACTGCAACTGCACCTGCACCAGCACCGCCAGCACGTTGACCTCATTCTGTCTCGCATCCATGCACCAGATCCGCCCATGCATAGCACCACCACCATCAGCAGCACCATCTGCACCAGCAGCACCATTACTACATTGATTCGCTTCGACGCCAACAGCTCCAGGGCGGCTCCTGCTTCTGCCTGTCTCGAGGCCTGTGAAGCCTTGTCGATACAAGGTCGCACCACGATAACCCAGGACTGCTACTGAAGTCGTCCCTCAGTCAAGGTAGTCTGTCCTGGAAGAGCTGGTACTGGAGCAGGGCCATTAGATGACGGCACAACTCAGAGCACAAACACAGACACACAGGCGCTATCAGCACAATCATACCCAGCACAACAACCCGGCTAGGGACCTGTCAGATCACCCACGTCCCACTCAGCACTCAGAGCGCTGCCCCGGCTTCCTGTGTATCCATGGCCCTCGTTGCGCAGTGCTGCTCTTCCCTCTGTCCTGCCGATGCTGCAGCGAGCCGCGCCCTCGAGATATAATCGCTTTCTCGCGAGCGCCCGCCCGACCTGTTCTTCATTGCACCGCGCTTCGATTCGTTCAACCTGGACCAGATCCGCCCAACTTTTTCGCGTCCTTCTTTTCACTCACACGTTTTGTTCGCCTCACGCCTCACGCCTCGACGAATCCAGCAAGCCCACACCAACCCCGCCAACAACCGCCAAACGCTCCCAAGCCCCCCTCCTCAAGTCGCGTGTTGTGCGGGCCGTCCGCAAGGCCAGGATAAGTGCCACGAGACGAGGCCACTTCTGAGCCTCCTGAGACCGAACGAACAGCCATTCCCGTGATTTGTGCTACCACGATCAGCTCTACTTCGCCAGGGGCGGCCACACTTCTCAAGACGCGCGCTTGCGCCTCAACGCGTATGCCGAGCTACACGGATGCGACAACGACGACCACGACCTCCAACTTGCCTTCACGATCTGGTGACTTGACTCATTGACAGCCTGACCTTTCACGAACGACTTTACGGTACGCTTTCGCACTCGACAGAGCTCTGTTGGCCTGGCTTCAAGCCGCAGTTGCCCCCTTTCCCTTCGACCAACACGACATCTTGTCGATTCCGACCAACTGCCCACCAGCCGAGTAGCTTCCTTCAAAAACACTCCGATTTCCTTGGTTGCGCTCTGTTCCGTTTCCAGCAGTCGACGACGTCCGACATCAAGCAATCTTCGCCAGTGGGCTACAACAACTACAACGACAACGACAAGACGGATCAACGACCTCCTTTACGGCCCATGCCCACCCCGACACCAGGCACGGGGACTTGCAGGCCTGATCGCACTATAGCGTGTTTAAAGTACGCAGCAGACACGACAATATGGACACCCAGTTCACGGACGACGAGAAGGTACATATTTGTTCCACTGAGATAGATCCTGCCGTTCCATCAACAGCAGACTGACTGAGGCGGCGCTGTAGCGGTTCATTCTTTCTGAGATGATCAAGCAGAGCAGGCTTGACGTCGATATCCTCGTCAATCTCATCAAGGGATTCAAGGAATTTGAACCGGACTGGCTAAAGATGCCTCTGCCCCATGGTACGTATACATATTCGTCCCCGTGTTCGCCGAGTCGGCTGTTGACTCGTAGCGTTAGGTCGCACTGTGAACCAGTGCCTAGAGGCTGCCGACGCCATGTTCCAGACTACAGTAGAGCGACCAAATCTGAAGCGAAAGTCCATGGGCGAGCTGCAGGAGGTGCCTTTCAAGCGGCGCGTCCTGCCCGCCTCTCTCGAGCACTCAACACAACCATCGACCTTGACACCAGCCGCGCAGCTGCCGGCCCAGTCGCTATTGAATCAGTCGTCTTTGTCAGGCAGCGCTCAACATGTCAACATTCGGCCGCGCCCCCCAAGAACAGGACCACCCGCCCCTGGTGAAATGCAGCTGGTGCCCGCGGCGAAGCGGAGAGGCAGGCCCTCTCGCGCGGACAAGGCTAAATCATTGCGTCCTGTACTGCCTCAGTTGGCGCCGCGCACCGAGCCACCTCCTCTGGCACCACATGTCCCAGGGAGTTCTACAAGCTCCATGTCCGGCGTGGCAGTATATCCACACGATCATGCTCAGAGTCCTGCAGCCTCGCGGAAGTCCTTCAGCGCCTCTCCGGGGCCGCAAACCTCCCCGAAACTTGGGCGGAAGAGAGGCCGGCCCTCGAACGCTGACAAGGTCAACAAGGCGGCAAGTTCTCCCACTGGCGCGCCAGTTCCCAACACGCAGGATTCTCGAGCATCCCTAATTTTCAATGCAGACAGGTGAGGCGGAGGGGGTTCTGGAGTCGCATAACCGAACGCCAAGGTTAGCGCCGCGGGAGACCGGCGTCACATCATCACATGGAACACAACAGGCTTCACGGCGACAGCCCGATTCGCCCCCCATTTCGGGGCCTTCGCCTTCGCGGGAGAGGGTTTTGGCTCCTATGCAGCCACTTCAGCAGGAGGGGCTTGCGCGATAGCCCTTGGTGGCAGCTTCATTGGTGACACATTTTGGACTGATGGTCCCCCATTGGCGAGTCGCGGCTGGCTCCCTCGCTATACCCAATCCTCCCGGGCAAGCTCTCGTCCCTAAACATGGTTTCCGTTCAACACACAGACGTGGGCGGCCAGGCTACTATTGCCTTTACGGGACTATGTTTGTCCTCCTGCACCGGAAATCTGGTACCATCGGACCATTTTGCCCACCACTGGGACCTAAAAGTCCGACGATCTCAGCCTACACGGCCTTTGTCACTCGTCCACGTTGCCAGCAGGGATTGGATGCTACTTTGGGAATCAATACCCCCGGATCCCACAGGGCATAGGCTTGGCCATATCGGCATAATTCGTGGAAACTCTGAGGTCAGGGTGCTAGGCTTTCAGCAACAGACTATCTACATTGACGTTGCAGTATAGAGAAGGCCCTATTGAGAAAATGATTTCCAACTCGGAGAGAGTCATGAACCTTCTGGACGCCAACCCTTGCGTCAGCTCTGGTATCCTTCAGGGTAGTCAAGCTTTTTCTCTGTCTTGGATAGCCTGCACTGGCAGATGGGAAACCTACCTTAGGTACCTTGAAGGTGAAGCCTACTTTTTTCTTTTGAGCAACTGTCTTAAACGAGGGCCAGTGAATGAATGACGGAGTTTTACCTTGAGGTGCCTTCCTATTGTTTATGGGGCCGACCCTCTCAAAAAGCAGTTCAGTATTAGATGGATAAGTGTTGTTGTATCTGGCTTAGTTTGGTTGCCAACGCGCCCCTAGGGATACGTTTTATAGCTCCTGCTGACTAGCTGCATCAGAGGAGTCCCTTCCTTCACTCTCTACGTTCTGTTTCCCTTAAGTAACTCCCCTTCCCACTACCAACCATCCCGTCGACCCTCCCGTCAAACATCCCGATCAACCAGTCAGCATGGTCGCCCCTTGGGTGAATCCTGTCTCGCCGAAGCAGATCGAAGAGTCCACGGCTGCGTTGATGAAGTTCTTTGGCGACTCTCATACCACGCAGGTAGCCGTTGAGTCAGTGAAGCCCTTTCTTCAATCTTCGCGAGAGATCGAGAATCCCAGGCATGCCTTGGCAGAGGGTATCCCTCAGCTGCAGGAGGAGCCATTCCAGATGGTAGATGCGCTTCCCCGACGCTTAGAAATTGCTTGCGCTGTGAAAAACAAGATTCGCGCCATGGCCCTCGAGCCGCATTTCTCTACTGGAGAGTTTGCCGACCATCTTCCGGATGAATATCTCAATTTCTCCTTCACCTTGATGCAGTTCTCTGTGTTTCTCTGCATGGACCTGCAACGGCTAGAACAGCTGCACGAAGATTCCTTAGGACCGTTCTGGTTTGATCAGCTGCGCCATATCGAGGCACTTTTTGGAACCTGTGCGTGCGAAGTTGGGGCCTCTGACGAAGCGTGGAACATGCTGACCATGGCCCCAACACAACATCGCGCTCAACGAAACTATGTGTTGTGTTATGCGGATGTGTCATTTGCATTTGAGAAAGTTCGCATGTACATGCAAAGAGGATACTGTAAATACATTGATGATTAGGTTGTCACTATGTAGGTACCAAGAAAGTAAGATGCCTACCTACCCAGGTACCTTACCTTAGGTACCACAAGGTGAAGGCCCTTTCTTTGAGTAGGCGGATGCCTTGCAGGTAGGGCCAGTGAATGATCGACAGGAAGGGCCAGTGAATGAACAAGATATTTTTTTTCTACTTCAAGGTGCCTTCCTATTTAAATGAAGCCCGCCCGCCCTTTTCTACTTACTCAACTCCCACCTTCAACCACCCTTCCATTCCCACAACACACACTCGCAGATACCGCCAACCCCGAAATCTGTCAAGATGGTTTACTGGCAACCGTCTCTCACGGAGAAGGACCGCGAAGACTACCTGAAAGCGTTCGAGGAATTTCTGGGTCATTCGACTACGACCAGGCATGCCTTCCAATCAGGGCTTAACTGGCATCGATCCACGCGAGCCATCAACAACCCCAATTGTGCGTGGGATGTCGATCATCCCCAGCGACCAGAAGAGCAGCGATCTCAGATGGACGCTGAAATCATTCGGCGGCTGGAGATCGCGCGCCACGTGCAAGACAAGATTCGTGCCGCGCCTGCGGCAGGTGATATTGATCAGCACGAGCTCCCGGAATGGACGGAGGCAGAACTTCGCAACTTTTCCTACAACATGATGCAGTTTTCTCTTTTCTTCTGCACGAGCCTTTCGAAATTGGAGTATTCTATGGAAGACGCTCCAAGCTGGTGGTGTACACAAATGAGAGGCGTCGAGTCTGCACTAGCCCACTGTAAGTTCTCCGGTCTGCCCCTGTCGTCGTCGCCCTCCACTCTCCGTCGTCGTCCGCCTCTCCGTCGTCGTCCGCCTCTCCGTCGTCGTCCGCCTCTCCGTCGTCCTCCGCCACCTCCTGCTTATATCCTGTTTTATCTCATCAGATGAACTCGGCTAACCAAGTGCAATAGTCCTTCAAAAGAATTATCCCCACCTTGAGGACGAATCAGGTTCGGAGCCTGAATCTCAAGCTCCCTATACTCCCAGGAGACAGGCCGCAGCCACAGGGGCCATCGGCCGAAGTGTTGCCCAGCGACAAGCGGCCAGAGACCGTGATGGCAACCGGTGCATCTTTACAGGATCCTCATCGGTGGATGTCTGTCACATCTGGCCCTTCGCCGTCAACAATTCTCCCGGAAAAAGGAAGACCCTGCGACGAACGTTGACATTTTTCACCTTGGTCGCCTTCCCTGGAAGCGGTTTCACAAACCTCAAGCGCCTGCTATGCCCCAGCGACGACATCGCAAGCTCCGACAAGGCCTGGAACATGCTAACAATGGCCCCAACACAACACCGCGACTGGTCCAAGGTCCGATTCGGCTTGAAATTCGTCGACGGCTCGGTGAAAGCATTGGGTGTAAACGCAGCACACGGCGACGGCGCTCGTCACGCTGGACACAAGAAGAAAGCAACCGAAGAAGCCCCGGAGACGCCCGAGGCAAAAGTTGGCAGGCCGTCGAGAACCGAGAGCATCAGTTCCCGGCCCAGAAGGACGGGTGCACCAGAAGAAGCCTCTGGTCCCAGCACCCAGGACAACGACGCATCTGAGTGGTCCAGCTACTCGGTCGAGCTGCATTGGCTGCCGAGGCGTATTGTGGAGGCGCTCAGTAAGCATACCACCGATTCCGGCAGCGACCTGTGCTACAACAAGATCAAAATCGATTCCGATGAAGAGGCAGAGTCGTTGAGAGCTACACTGAGCGACATCTTCGCAAACAAATACTCCACAGACAAAGACACGACAGACGAGGACATCAAAGGGAAAGGACCCGCCGACGTGGATGAAGCCCCTCCCCAGGCTCTCATGTGGGATTCTTCGGGCCGGCCGGTCGAGTCTGGCCACGTTTTTACCCTCCGAGCTGCCACCGCCGATATGGCGAAGACCGAGGCGATGATTCGGACGCAATGGCTGATGCTCAAGATAGCCGCGTTGTCTGGCGCTGCCGAAGCAGTGGATCGTTTGAACAGAAAGCCACCAATGCCCCCCAGAGTGGGAACTTTCAAGACCAACGCCCAAGGCGAATGTGAGTATATCCCACGGTCACCTGTGCAGACGACCCCGCAGGCCGAAGCCCACGAGACGAAGAAGGAAGAAGAGTCTTAGAAGGTTCCTTCAACTCCTTTGCCTGCCCGCGATGAGACGGAGAGCACCACAACCGTCGAGACGACAGAGACGCAAGTGAACAAGCCGACGACTAGTACCAAGATGCAGATTCTCACAGACGAATGGCTCGAAGCGGCTCAAGCGGAAAAGCTGGCGACTCTGACCGAGACGGAGATGATCACATCCAACATGCCCGAAGAGGCTATCACATCCAATGTGCCCGAAGAGGCTCAAGTGGAGGAGCTGGCGATTTCGACCGAGACGAAGAACCCCGGGTCCAAAGAGGCACGCAAGGAACCGTCGACGACCATCGCTGAGACGGAGACTCTGTTACATGAAGACCCTGCAGCCCCAACGCGGACCAAGCGAGCCAAGGAACACGTCAAGACGCTCGCCCACAGGGCCATGTCCATGCTGAGCATGCGGTCCAGCGCGCAACACGAGAAGCGGTCGGCGAAGCCCGGCGACCCGCAACACGAAAAGCAACCGGCCAAGACGGGAGTCTTGCAGGCGGTGGAGGCGGGAGGAGAGACTGTGTCCCAGGCCAAGGTGCCAGAGCGGGTCTCCAGTCTTGCCACTGGGCAGCCCGCAGGCGAAAGAAAGGCATCGGGTCTTGTGGGCAGAATGCGTGCGGCGTCGAGCGAAGTGCACAAGCTTGCGGATCGAACCAAGTCTCTCATGAAGAAGTGAGAGCGGAAGGGGAGAAAATGGTGTTGTGGTTTGGCATGCAGTATTGTATTAACTAGTCAATAGCTTTTTCCTAGTCCGTCGCTTGTAGAAGATGAATCATTACTTGTAATTTTTTTTTTAAAGAAAAAGAACATCAAGAAGAAACAATCGTCTCCAGTGTCTCCAGCAGGATATCCGCATGGCCCTCCTCAAACACCAGCATGGGCCGCAACCGCACGGCGCTCGCGCCCGAGCCGCCAATGTTGACGCCCAGCGTCTTGGCCGTCTTGAGCACGTCGTCGCGGCGCGGGCTGTCAAAGGCGATAAAGGTGCCGCGGTCCTTGCCGCGCAGGTTGGCGACCTGGTCGGGGTACTTGGCGGCGAGACGCTCGAGGCCGGCAAAGAGGTGGGCGCCGACCTGGGCGGTGCGCTCGACGAGGTTGTGGGCGCGGACCTCGGACAGGATGGCGCGGAAGAGGAGGGCGCGGGCGGGGTCGCCCATCCACGTGTTGAACTGGCGGTAGGGCAGGTTGGGGCGCAGCTCGGGGTTGGCGTAGTAGTAGCCGGCGGCCTGGGCCTTTTTGGAAAAGGTGACCATGTCGGGCGGCGTCTGGAGGTGCCAGTGCTCGTGGGCCCAGAGCTTGCCGGTGGCGCCGAGGCCCGTCTGGACCTCGTCGACGATGAAGAGGACGTTGTGCTTCAGGGTCAGGTCGCGCAGGCCGCGGAAGAAGGCCGGGGAGGCGTGGTTGTCGCCGCCCTCGGACTGGATGGGCTCGACGATGACGGCGGCGGGGGGCGCGGGGTGCGTCTTGATGAGGTGCTCGACCTCGGCGAGGGACGCGGCTTCGGCGGCCTCGTTCTCGGCGACGTGCTGATCGAGGGGATACTTGAGCAGCGGGAAGGTGGCCTGGGGCCAGTCAAAGGCGGGAATGTCGAGCTTGTGGATGGGCTTGGACCGGGTCGTGGAGAGGGAGCCGAAGAGGCGGCCGTGGAAGCCAGTCTTGAAGGAGAGGATGGACAGGTTGGCGGCGCCGGGGCTCGAGTTGTTCATGGAGGATGAGATCTCCTCGTCGGTGAAGGGCACGGTGGGCCCACCACGCTCCTGCTGGCGGCGGTACATGAAAGCAGCCTTGTATGCCGTCTCGTTGGCGTCGGAGCCAGCCATGGCGGTGAAGACCTGGTTGAGGCCGGGGGGCGCGGCCTTGAGGATGCCGGAGCGCAGGATCGAGGCCCAGTCGTGGGAGGGGAAGTTGCCGAGGGCGGGCCGGTTGACGATGGCATTGACCATATCGGGCGTCTTGGCGGCGGCGATGAGGGCAGGGTTGTTGTAGCCCAGGGGAATGGAGGCGATTTGGGCGTAGACATCGAGGAGGACGTTGCCGTCGGGGTCGGCGATGTAGTTGCCGATGCTCTTGGTGTAGTCGGTCAGCATGTTCAAGCTGCGCGTGTCAAAGACCTCATGGAGGTCCTCAATGTACTTCTTGGACACGGGCCCAGGAATCTCCGTCTTGACGGTGGGACGAGCAGGCTCTTCGGGGAACAAGGACGATGCGGCGCGGGCGAAGGAGACAGAGAAGGCTCGAGCAGGGAGTTTGGAGACGGTGGGGTGCCTCGCGGCACGAGTGGCCGGGCGCAGCAAGGACGACGCTCGCAGAGCAGCCATGATTGCTGTGTATCTTGTTGGGTAGGTATCTATAGCAAGCAGCCAGCTGGGTACCCCGCGAGATGAACTGGCAAAGGAAAAGTTCACGAGATGAGATGAGGGGTGTTGGAAGAAGGAGGGGGGGGGGTGAGGAGCTTGGAGGAGCTTTATATCGGGTCACGGCGGCTTATCGCATGGACCTACTCAAGCTTTTGAGCCTTGTCTCTTGTCTCGGCGGGGGTGGCTCGATCTGGTTGGTCACTGAACAAATACTTGGCCCCTCGTCCCTTGTCATCCTCCGGGGTAAGATATCTGAGGTACCTACCTACCTACCTTACCTAGGTACCTAGGTAGTGTAGGTACTTGTACCGAACGGGGGAGGGAGCACCTGACGGAGGCCGGAAGGGCGAGCTCGTAGGGCGCGGCGGGGTCTACCATCGCCGTCGCAGTCCCTGCCGCGACCATCGCCGCCACCACTACCACGACGCTAGTGCAGACAGATACGGGGGGCAGCTGGACCCCGCCGCGTGCGACGTCATTCGTGGCAGGCCGCATTCCCATCAGCTAATGATGGAGTAAAACTATACAAAACAGAACAAGACCAGATGAGGATGCGGCTTTGTGAGGGCCTCGAGGGCTTTGACCGACAACCTTCCTGATTGAGGCTCGATCTCTGAGCGCCCTAGAATTCGTGGCGTTGTACTGTTGTTGCCCTGGAAGCTGCTGTCGACGTTGGAACCTTGAATAGGTACCTAAGGTAGGTAAATGTAATGTAGATGGCTTGCCAGAAAGGGCAAGGTACCATCCCGGGCCTGTGTCACCCCACTGCGGAGTCGGCACCCTGCAGCCGTCACCTGGACCCATGTTCCACCCCACCTATCAGCTCTATCAGAGCATCTGCAACACCACAAACACCGGCCCGGCCACCATCGACGCATGCCTCTTTTCGGTAGGTAACGTAATCATGTGCTGAGCTGGTTCAATAGGTACGCGATAGGAGAAGCCGAGTCACGATGCATAGTGAAAACGAAGTGTCTCATCGAAGAAAAAGAGGGTGAGGACGACCAAAGACAAGTCTTTCCCTCCTCCCAAGAAAAATGTCGCCACATCTCGCTCTACTGATGCAATGCACAATGCTTCCACCCATGCCATGCCATGTCAAACAATGTTGGAGAAATCAAGGAAACAGACCCGCCGACACCCGTCGTAAAACTGTCGCCCCCCTCTCTGCTTGGCAGGGCCAGGAGATCATCATGCAAAGAAGGAAAAAGGAGAAAACGCCGTTCCCATCATAACAAGAACGAAGAGTCAGATTCCACCATCAGCCCCGCCCCCCCCCCCCCCCCCCCCTTCCTGGTCACGGATTCATGATTTGAGGCATGATTCTACTTCATTCAGGTTCCGCTACCAACAGCGAGCCGTCTTGATATGGTCAGTGTTTTCGTTGAGACAGCTTGACTCATCTGCATCGTCGAATTGTAGCAATTAGAATTTGTAAAGAAGTTAACCCAACGGTTTACTCTTACTCTGTGGATTCTTCCAAAAGATTCTCGGGATAGAGCACAGTCTGAAGCAGACACTTCACTGCGACCGACACAAGGGACAGGCGTTGTCTGCGTCACTTGAAAGCTTCACAACATGAACGAAGAGATTTGGAATATATTTGCGCCAGAGAAAAAAAGCCAAGATCCAGCCAACCAACACCTGCCGATGCTACACAGAGATATTCCTTCTACCTTACTCCATAACCTTCAGATCCTTGGCCACGGTGAACTGTGCGTGAGTCTTGGCCTGAACCTCTTCAAGCTCAACGCCCGGCGCAATCTCCGTCAACGTCAATTTGCCGGCCTCCCGGTCCACTTCAAACACGCGCTGCAGACCGTTATGTAAATTTCAAAGAAAGAAGCATCGCCAGGAAGGTATCACAAGGTCTGTGA